ACTTAAAAAAATACACCTATAACATTGCTTAATTGAGGGAGAAAATTATATTTATTAAATGTTGTTTTATATATTATGAATGTTGAAAATTATACATAATCATTTTAATTGTATTTATTTTTAAATCATAGAAAACAGTATTTCTGTCTTTGGATCACACATAAATCTTAAAACTCATAGAGATACTGGCAACACAGTGCAATTAGGAGACGCAAAAAAATGGTAGCATTATAGTCTAGTTGCTCGAAGGAATAAGTAAAATAAAAATATCCAAATAAAATAAATATCATATCTATTCCAATGAATTCGGACCGAATACTATCAAGCACATCACTATGAAAACTAGACGCACGATGTAACTTTGTACAAGCGCGCCAAAGAACAAAAAATAAATGTTTTCATATTATTTACAAACTATTTTAAGTTTTGAAACAGAGTTTACTGGAAAATTACTTGATTCTGACATTTTGACATAAAGTTTTATATTAAAGAGGTATTCTAAATCATTCGGCAAATGTGTCGCTCGTGCAAGGTTATATCGATTAATTTAAGAATAATCTGTCAAATCGGTAAGTCGGTCAAGTCGATACTTGACGATATTGATCTTCGATTAATATAACGAACAAATTAAAATCGTATTGACAGAAAAAGGATTAGCATCAAATTAAAATTTATAAAACTGTTTTTTTTAATTTTAATTAGATAATATTACATGATATTTTTATCAAGATGGAACATATTCATCATCACTAGCCGAAATCGATATTTCATGGTCGGCATCGTCGTCATCACCCTCATCATCGTCTATAGAATCCCCTGTATTTATTATAATTTGGTTATCTATGACGGCATCGATATATATGTCTTTGTCCCAATCAGCGAAAATCAAATTTTTCGTTCGTAAAACCACACTTTCCCAATTCGCGGCAGTAACACTATCACAAGCTTCTTGCAACAATGACAGCATTTTGTTTGCAGTAAACTGTGGGCTGGTATTTTTACGAGCCGCATAAACTAAAATAAAGGTTTGCGTGTTAATATAGCAACAGATAAAATGTTAAAATAGGTAAAAATAAATTATAAAAAAGATTTGTTTAAATTCTTGCCTTTAATTTGCGCCCAAATCAATTCTATGTCATTGTATTGACAATGGTAGGGTGGAAGGCGCACTACATTGTGTCCAGCTTCCTTAGCCATTTCATCCAATACGTATTTTGGTTTAGCTGGCTTATTTATAGCAACCAAATGCAGCAGCTCAACTTTTAACATGGACATGTCAGCAACTATATTATTGTCATTCAGCCATTTCACAATATCGCCTATTTTGTTGCTAGAAGTTGGAGGCTTACTTATTTGTACTGAATGATACGGTGGATTATCCATAATGATCGTCGACGGCTCATTCAAGTTGGTCAATAAGGTACAAAACCATTCCTTAAATTTAACAAAATTCATCTCTTCGTGGTATTCCACAAATTTCGTAGATTTAAACGCCAGAGACAGTTCAGAACAAATCCCTTCATGGAACCCGCATGACAAATAATTAAGCATTCACCTTTGCAATTAGGTACTTTTGTGGAGGAGTGAGGAGTGTCAACAGTCCATATCTTGCCAACTGTATGATTAGCGTTTAGCCACGTCTCATCTAGAAATACAACATTATTCCAAACGGCAATGGACTTTGCTGATCTGATGTTTCAGATCAGCAAAGTCCATTGCCAAAGTCCAGATTCTCGTAAAGTATTTGACAATTTATCGAGAGTCGGCAATTAGTTCCTACTATAGTAGCCATAGATATGGTTTCTAATGGCGTCGTTATCAAAATTGTCGATATGTGTAACTATCGATATTCTAACTTTTTTCTTAAGTGGCGATTTTAATTTGTTATCTTCCATTAAATCTTTATCATGTTTTTCCTTACTTATTCAGGAAACAGTTTTTCGACTAATGCCAAGAGCTACACTTACTCGGTTAGTCACTTGTGAAAGTGGCAACAATGGACCACCATTCTGATACTCTCTTTCAAAGTAATCTTGTAGGCGTACTACAAACTCTCGCGCTTGACTGCGCATCACTGTTCTTTTAGTGGTCTCAGTTTCGGCCATAGTGTTTATAAATACAAAAAAAACCAAATCAAATAACAGTCAAAACCTAATAACAACGAAATAATTATCAAACAGTTATAACTACAATAACAAGAACGAAATAAAAACACAACACAAATTCAACTAAACTAAACACGCGTATCGTATACAAAGTAAAAATAAAACTATAGAACGTAAACGCAAAACGGCAGTAAAATATTATTATCTTTTAAAGTTTTAATTATTTTGAGCACGATGTCTAAAAACAATATGTTGATTGTGTGTGAGAATTAATTGTATAATGATTTAGATTGATTGTGTATTTTTAAATGATGATGTACGACCATGAACAAAAATGATTATTATTTCAAATTATGTGAAACGTGAAGAAATACTTCGTAATTGGAATAGAGTATAACATCTACATTATTTTATAATTTGTATTTTACATGCGCATATATTAAGTACATAAAATCACATTACTTTCACATATCGAATCCACTTCAAACCATTATTTAAACAGCAATTCGTCGGCTTTCATGTTCCCGCCAAAACTTTCAAAATTAATTATCTTTTCTTTCTTTTTTTTTTTGCTTTTGTTAGTATCAAGTATATGAAATCATCCTATTTATGAATTTGTTTAAAAACTTTTTTACATTAAGTTGATGCGTCACATTGTGAATCTTTCGGAAGGTTTTGATGGCAACTTGAGCCAGCTGACAGTGGACAACGATAGTATTTCAAGGCACCTAAGCAGACACAATAACTTGAAGTTCACGTCACAAAATCGCACCAGTTTTAGGTTTGAAAATCCATCACTTACAACCTATAAATGTATACAACTCAACATAGGCCTGCCCCATAAATTACCGTAGGGGAATTCGTAGGGGTGATTTTGGCATAATTACCAAACTTGGCTGGTGGATTTGCAATCACAGTTGTTATTTTATTTTGTATGATAACTACTCAAAATTAAGATACTGCTTAGTAGTAGACCATAAGTTCAATTGGCACGAGCATATAAAGCATGTATGTGATAAGCTTAGAGTATTTTTGGCGAATATGTTTATAATTAGAAAGCGATTAAACTTTCGAGTCAAAATGATGCTTTATAACGCTCTTGCTGATTCAGTCATAACTTGTGGGCTAAGTAGCTACGGACGAACAGACAAATCACATCTACAGTACATTTATCAGCTACAACTTAGGATTTTAAAATCGATTGTACCTATAAAAGTTAAACTTCAGGCAAAAACAAATGAAAATTTTATATTTAACTTTTATTTAAACACTGCAAGGTACTCAATATCCATGATAAAGTCCAATATCAACTGTTAAAAGAACAATTTTTTAATTTAGGTATACAACATACAGTCTGAAACAAAATTCAGACCCGCAAAGTAACTCAAAAAAAATTAATAACAATACCATCCAAAAATAAATATGGTGAGCGCACCAGTGCATACATAATACCTCGCTTAATAAATGGTCTGGATAATAAATTTAAAAGTGAAATTAATGAAGTTAACATAGAGTATAAATTAAAATGTTATTTCCTTAACAAATATTAGTTGTTATCCCCATTTTTGTAAATGTAGACGGAACGGCACGCAACACAAACCTGCGAGGTTTTTCGCTGTGCCGCATAGCAATAATGTAACAATTTTTACCCAATAATAAATAAATAAAAAAAAACATCTTTACCTCCCTCCATCAACCCTTCTAATTCCCTTGGGAGGAGATATTATTCTCTTACGCCTTAACATCACGTGAAATGTAGCTGCTCCTTCTTCCTTTTATCGTTTACATTAATTACGGTTTGAAGATAATTTTGATATGTAAAAGTAGTGCAATTTTGTGTTGCAAAGATCTGCGCATTTAAACTTTTAGTGGGAGTTCATGTATTAATTTCTTCATTTTCATTCTTCATCTTTTTATAAATGTGACGTGGCAGATCTCATTGTGCAACAAAAAAAACTAATTTTTGTAGGACGTCTATTCAGCCGCGCATCTAGATACATTGAGTAGTGTGGATTCATTCGTTCATCGGTGTGGCTTCAACTAGTATTACTGTACCCATAGGAGCGGGTGGACTTTACATTGACAGAGTAGAACGCCTGCTAATGTCTATTCGTCTCCGATCAGCTAATGGCCCGTGATGGTCTTTAAAATTGATGTTCTCGGCCATAGGATTGAGAGCATCAATTTTAAAGAGTACATAATCACTACATTTCAATCAATGACCAAAAAATTGTCATTAGTTTTCTTCTTCCCCATTTCTTGGCCTGCACGGTTTGTGCGTCAGCCATGTTTTCCATTTTTCAATATATAATTATCCTTCGTAGTACAATTGTATAATTAGCCTTCATAGTACACTGCTTCACAATATGTTGATGCGACACATTGTGAAGTCCTCGGGAGATTTTGGCGGCAACTTGAGCCAGCAAACAGTTGGCAATCGTATCTCAAGGCGCCTAAGCAGACAACCTTATATTGAGAATCACATCACAATTAGAGCACTTGTTTCACCGTATCCACTAATAGTTCACATGCGTAGACACTTAATATACAAAATCGCACCACTTTTACATATCAAAGTCCACTTCAAACCATTATTTAAACAATAATACAGGAGCAGCATACCGCCGCCGGTCATGTTCCCGCCAAAACTCCCAACATTAGTTTTAATAAACATACTAATGACAAATACATGTCATACTAGGCTGTATAATCATACATCCCTATGCCTCTAAAAAATAAAAATCAACTAACTATTTTGAGATGCTAGTGCTAGATCGAGACGAGAATAATGTAATTTTAATGTTTTAAACTTGTCGTTGTTGATTATTTTGATTTGTGAGTAAATACATAATCAGTTGGTGTTTGTGAAATTAAGAATTAAAACATTAAATAGCTATGGAGGACATATATGACAATTTAGAAAATTACGATGATCTAAACAAAATAGAGGAGGTATCACCGTTTTAGCGCCAAATATTTTGTCATTGGTGTCATAATTCTATTGCCTTTTCAATATTTAATACATACTAATGCACATTGTATTATACGTTTTTAGCTTAAAATTGAAAATAAGGAGCTGAAATGCAAAATTGAGGAGTACACCACTGCTATATGCAAACTACAGGAAGTAAGTTCCACAATTTTGTATTGTTTTTTGATGACTTGTTTGACTTGCTTTTTGAATGTGATTCCTGTAAAAGTTAGATATTTAAAAAAATTGTTTTTCATATTTGACATGATGTATTGCTTGCAAGACATTAAATAATTGTGTTTTAATCACCATAAGATAATGGTAAGACCTACTTTCATTCTATCTACCTATCTACAATCATTTAAATGCAATCTCATTTGTACAAGTTATTTATTTTAATTAGTGTGACTATAAAATAGCTATAGTATAGTAATAAAATAAACATAGAATAAAAACAATTATTATCTCTACTAATATTTTATCCTTGGGGCGGATGCCGATTGATATTATAGAATATTTTACAGGATTTTGATAAGTTAGCAGCAGAGCATAAAAAATTAGAACTTAATTATTCATCTTTACTCAGAACTGCTAAAGCAGAGATTGAAAGAAAGACCCAACTGATAAAAGACTTAAATATAGAGTAAGTATCATTTAAATTCTATTATAATATTTTAACAGTGGTAGAGCCACGCGGCAACTTTTGCTGTCGCATGGATGTGCCGGCTCGAACCGGGGTGGTACCACAACCTCACAGAAAACCAGCGTGAAGTAGAGGTTTACCTCTGCGTTTCGCTTGGTGAGTGCAGGTGGCCGGAGGCCCTTTTTACTGGAAATGAGGCATTCCATTTTAGCCCTCACAGGTGACAACTCATCTACATTTTGAGTTGTAATAGAGGATAGATATAGATGTCTATGGGCCGCAGTAACCACTTACCATCAGGTGGACTGTGTGCTCGTTTGTCACCTTTTCCTATAAAAAAAAAAAAAAATTTTATAGGATAGAGTGACAAACAAGCACACAGTCCACCTGATGGTAAGTGGTTGCTGTGACCCATAGACATCCACATCTATCCTCAATAAAGAATCAAATTACAGATACTTTGTCACCCGTGAGGACTAAGATGGAATGCCTCTTCCTGTAAAAAGGGTCTCGGGTTCTCTACACTCACTATACGAAACACAGCAGTGTTAAGCTGCTATTTTACGCTGGTATTCTGTGAGAGCGTGGTACATCCCTGGCCGAGCCGACCCATTCATGCTACAACTTTACTACTAATATAGCTGCAGCATGGCTCTACCACGTAACATTAATTGATAGTAAAATTTTTATTTGTTTGGCTTTAAAAGAGAGGTACCTCCTGGCACAAGTATTATTTTGCTTAAAGGGAGGCTCTATAATACTATTCAAATAAGAATAGGAATGATCTTGTGCGATATTGTGACATATTAGCTGTCAATTCAAACTGGTTAGATAGGGTGAGCAATACAGATATTTTTGAAATAATATTTATTTACAAAAGAAACATGAACGAAAATATAACTTGGGGGGCCTTTAAAAAAGCAGCCTACTCCTTTTTTAAACCAGTTATTCATAGATAGTAGTAGTCTCCTTCTTCTACTTCACCATTACCATCAGGAGACCCAAACGCTTGTTTGCCCAATAGATCTGTTTGTCTAAGCCAGATCCTCTTATCTTAGCCTTCCTCTTTCATAAAATAAAGATAAGAGGGAGGTTTGGACCAAGACAAGATAGAGACATTTTTAGTATTGTTTGTTGTTGTTGGATACTGATTTAATTTTTTTAAATTATTTTATTGTGTAAACTATAAAAATCTTATTATGATTGTTACAGAAAGGATAAATTAGTGATTAATGCAAGGCTAAATCTGGGACAAAAAGCTCTTAATAAATTTAGAAGAAGTCAAAGGCTTCAATCTAAAAATAAAAAGGTTTCAGACTCAAGTATTCCAGATCAATCAGTAGGTTTGAAATCAAAACATCAAATAGCACAGAATAAATGGTAAGACCAACTTTCATATTTAAACACCACTGTGATTGCAGTGACTGTCTGTTTCACACCCTAGCTTTTTTACAATTTTAAATCAATGTTTAACTACAATCCCAGCTCTAGATGGTAAATTGCACTATCTTAGCATAAAAAGCCTATTCACTCTTGTCTTGAAGACTCTTTGCTGTATGCATTGCATTACAAATGACTATGCAAGCCAATTAGTTCTAAAGCATGGAATGTCAACAATAAAGGGATTGAAAACCACCAACTTATCCAATGATGTAATAGGAGAGAGGAATGAAATTGTGTAATTCTTGTGGAAAATCTCCAAAATTATTCTATGGGAATAATGAGAGCCTGGTTACTTTGCGCCTGTGCTCAATACTGCCAAAGTTGGTTTATATGGAAGCCTATCATTGCGCTTCCCTGCTAAGACCAATGCTGCTAGGCTGCATTTTGCAGCTACTTGATAATAGCAGTACTTCACGCATGACTGGACATGCACTTTATAAAGGGTAAGATTGAGTGACACAAATTGCCCCAGTCACTTGGAAGGGAATGCTAAACTGGCTTGTAAATAGCACCTGTAGCTTTAGAAAGTACAGGTTCAGATTAATATGGAATACTGTTCTCATCTCTGGGCCTGGGCACCCCAGTACCAGCTTCTTTCACTTGACCACATTCATTCATTAAGAGAATGGCTCGAATTACCATCAACTATGTTTTTTCCGATCACCTTGGTCCATAGGTTTTACGAAGAGATGTTACATCTCTATGCATCTCATATTATGTATACCACAGGGAGTGCCAAGAAGAATTGTTTGGATTCGGAATTCGGATTTCAGCTAATGAATTCCACGATCATACACTGCGACAGGACCTTAAATTCTATTTACATCATTTTGATGCTTAGCGGTCCACAACCGTGTGTTTTACATGTAATTTGCTGTCATGTATGACCACATTGTGGAATTTACTGTCACCAGCAGTTTTTTTGGATCAATGCAACACTATATTTTAGTTGGTGATATTTTGTTATAATACAAATGTAAAGTGAATTGAATAAATGCAGTATCAGATATGGCGTATTTACATAATATCCAGAACAGATAATATTTATTAAAATATCTAACAACTATTCCCTTCTCAGTTTTGTATCCTGACCTCATGTGTTGTAGAGTAAATAATAATAGAAGTTTTTTGTATTTGTAGCAAAAATGATAATCAATTACCATCACTGGATACAATTTCCAGTACCAGTACAAATGGAAAAGTCAATAATGATCCGGAACAGTATTTAGAAAACAAAAGTAGTAATCATGACACTAGCAATCTTACATCGAAAGAAAATAATATGCAGATGTTAAATAAGCCCCAAAGTAGAAAAATTGAGACCAAGCTTAGAAGAATTTCGAACAGACGGAAATCCATGCCAGCATTAAGGTAATTGCAAATTTTGATTACTTCTTTAGTATTTTTTTTAAGTTGAATTCTTTACAAATCATTCAGTGTCTAATGCATGAATATGATTTTGTGGTAAAAGATTTGCTGTTTAAGTTGTAAATATCTATTAGTGAATCCACTTCTTAAAGATGGCAATCATGACTAAACTCACCACTGTTGGACACGCGCCTCTCCCATTATTTAAAGGATTCGCCACACTTGGTAAAACGCCATCTTTCTGAAGAGGTTTTAATGACATTTCTCACAATTTCCTCTTACGACACCAACGGGAAGAAATGAGGTCATGAATATTCTTGCATAAGGCAACACGGCTATCCATTAGTTACAACAGATTTATTGATAAAATTTGTGGTTTCAGTAGCCATGACATTAAGCTCAGTTCTGATGAAGAAATAATTAGTAGTGAAAATATTGTTGTGACAAAAGAAAATAAGAATTACCATCAAAGAAATGAGGATGTGGTGAGAAGATTTGGCGAAAAAAATTATTCCAACAATAATAAAATATCTGGACCCTCAAGTGTAGAAAATAGTCAGTCTCATTATCATGACGCCTTAATAAACAATCATTCTAAAAATAAAACCAATTGGTATTATCACAATGAAAACCATAGAAGTAGGGAATTTTCACAGAGACAAAGGTGGCAATCCAGTCCTGATAGATTACATCATAGGAGTGTAAAAGATTATACAGCTGATAACTACCAAAGATGTGAATATAACCGAAGAGCTTGTGAAAGCCCCCCACGCGATAAATATCATAGAAATAGGAGCAGAGACCGTAGATCGAATTATGAAAGGGGCTATCATCGTGACTTCTTACATGGAAAGGATGATGAGCGAAATGGCCAGAAACATAAATATCAAGATGATTTGGATGAGCCAAGTTACAAAAGACAAAAACTTGATCATTTACATCACAAGCATAGTGAAAATGATAACAGATCGCAAAGTATGGATGATAATAGAAGGCAAAACGTGGATAGTAACAGATGGCAAAGTGTAGATGATAGTAGACGGCAAAATGTAGATGATAGCAGATGGCAAAATCTAGATAATAACAGATGGCAAAATGTTAATGATAACAGACGACTAAATTTAGATAATAACAGATGGTCAAATATAGATAATAACAGAAGGCAAAATATGGATGAAAACAGATGGAAAAATGTAGATGATAACAGAAGGGAAAATGAAATGGAAGTTTCCAAAGGAGTAGTTACAAAGGCGATGGACCTTCCAGAACATGTATCTTGCCAGTCACCTGATTATGTACACACTGACTACCATACGGACGCTATTAAAGGTAAGCATGTAGTATTTTTATAATATGAAAGATTATGAGTGAAATTATGTAATTTAATATTCATTTTTCATGTTTGTTGTAGAAATTATGAACACTGCTGTTATGCATTTAGAAGATCCAAGACTTACTAGCAAGAAATACAAAGTTATAAATGATAATGACAAGGAATTCATATCAACTGTTACTGGGAAAAATGTAAATATTATACCCATCGATAAAAACCTTTGGGGATTTGAACCTGTACCAGTGCCAAAAGCATTACTCGAACCACCCACTAGGTACACCACAGAAGAGCTGGCAACCACTAGGTACACCACAGAAGAGGTGGCACCCGCTAGGTACACCACAGAAGAGCTGGCACCCACGAGGTACACCACAGAAGAGGTGGCACCCACTAGGTACACCACAGAAGAGCTGGTAAAAAATATATACATGGATATCGATAACCCAACTTCTAACATATCTGTTGAATCAGGTGAAATATCGGACACGGATGATTACATTATCTCATCTTCTAACACTTCCGATCATAAACAACTTGAAAAACTCGCAAAAGATCCAATTGTTGTTATTGATAACAATGAAAAGTTAATCAACATTGAAAGAAACAATGATAATAATTATAATGATATTTCGAATAATCATTCAGTAAATAAATCTAAAACTCCTAAACTACAAAATATTTCGGAAACTGAAGCCAAGTCAGAAAGAGTTGTAAGTGATATAAATTCAGAACATACTGCAGGTAGTAATTCAACAACACATCGAACTGTGGAAAATGGAAGTGAAAATAATAATAGAGTCGAAATTAAGTCAATGCCGCAACTTAATATTTCTTCAAAAAGTACCATAGATATTAAAAATGCATGTAATACTATTAACAAGGAAAAAAATGAAAGGTTAGATTTGAAATTTGCAACCAAATGCAATGATCATGAATTAGCTGTATCGGCAAGCATTGTTGAAAATGACCTTGTATTAAGTGATGACACAAGTGATATTGAACCTAAGAGCAAAGTTACGAAGAAGAATAGTAAATTAAAAAATAAAAAAGATAAAATTGATAACTATACAGAAAAACAAAAAAGTGAAGAGGTGATGAAAAAATGTAGGAAGGATCATAAAGTTCTCACAGACACTGATAATATAGCTCAAAATAAAGAAAAGCCTTTAAAAGTAAATAATAAAAATAAAAATTTAGAAATATCTACAGAACATGGTAAAGGACATAGAAGTAGCACAAGGAAGCCCCAAGTCAATAAGGGATCTGATGTTGATACACCTAAAACAAGTAAATTAAAAAAGGATATTCAAGAGAAAACGCCTAAAATACCAGAAAATAAAACAAAGTTTAGCGACCTTTTTGGGGATAGTAGCAGTCTAATAACACCAGATGATTTAGGAATTGCTTCTGCTCAAAATGAACGTAGAGAAAAATATGTTACCGTTTTTGAAGATATTGAAGACGCCATGGATTTAAACATTAAAGAAATACAAAAACTAAAAGGATCAACATTAAAGACTGTTGATTCTCAAGATAACGCTGAAGAAGAACATGAAAAGATACAAACGCGTTCATCAAAACCAAACTTAGATTGTGCTTCAGGAAAAGATAGTAATAGCAAAGAATGTGAAACACAAAAAACAAATAAACAATCAATTAAAAACAGTGAAGAAAAGTCTTCTACCATTAAAGAAACTAGCGATATAGTTAATATTTATAAAAATGTAAATGCTGAAACACCAAATGTTGTAAACACAATTATTATTTCAACAGGAATACAACCGACAGCTTTATGCGATAAAAGTAACGTATTTACACAGCCCCAAAATGTGATTTCTCTAGAAAATGTTACAAAACCAACTAACAATCTAGCTCCAAAGGCTTTAGCTACTTCCACGCCGGCTAAGGTGGCACAACAAGAGCAAACACTAACTGACTCTACAAAAATAAGATTACCGCCAGATAGCTCAAGTGCTAATTCTGATGATAGTAGGATGGTAGATTCTTCACAAACTGTCAATGATTCATCCGATCTTAACATAGATCCCCAGAAAGATATAGATATACCTGATGTCAGAATTTTCATGAAGAGAAGAAGAAAAGTGAAAAAAATGACACCATAAGTTTATGTCTTGTATATCAGGACTTGGTTATAGTTAAATAACTTTATATGGAGCTTATAGTTCCTTAAATATTAAAATAAGTAACAAATTCGTTATGGGACATTAATTACGTTAAGTTACTCATCTTTATTTGAGTTAAAATACATTTTTCATTTATTTATATTTCTACTACATTTTAATTATAGTTTTATTACCATTACAGCCTATTAAAAGTCAGCTGCTGAACATAGGTCACCCTAGGGGTGATATTTGCCATATATGCCATGTTTGGCAAGCGGGTTTTGCAACCGAAGTTTTTATTCGGCTTTAATCAAGATGTTGCTACCCATCTCCTGGTTTTAACTTCACTCTGTCGCCTCTTACGACACCCCTGGAAAAATATATGGTAGTTGATATTCTTACACCGCCACTGCAAGGTAAAATGATAATTTTATAAAACTATGTCAAAAGTGATATTTAGTTTTATAATATAATATGAATGACATATTAATTATGAATTAATGAAACTATGTTAGGTATATGTAGGCTACATAAAAAATGTTTGGTGTAATGTCAATTACATCGCAGTTACATTATCATGTGATTATAGATATATTATTATTCATAGATATGAGGAAGCTATGACAGTATTAACAGGTCGCACGCTCTCATACAATATGCGGATCGGTCCGGCGATTTATTCGAGTGTATCCGAGTAGTCGCTGTCACGGAGCGATCGTGTTATAATGTATCTATGTGTGTGTGAAATTGTTAGTATATTGTTTAAATTGTTATGTGCGAGTAGTTTTGTAGTTACAGCTGGTTAAGTGTGCGCAGATTTCCCCCGCAAAAAAATTACAGTTCTGTATCGGAAAAAAACGCTATGGCTTCTCCAATCCAGTCCGCCGGTGGCCCGTGTTGTTATATATATTGTTTGTACATTTGACTCATATGTACAAAGTAAACTGTCAGCTTCCTCATATTTCTATTAATCATATGTAATATGTATATGATATGTATGATATACCGAGCATAGAATCATACCTATAATCATATTATATACTTAAGATAATGTTATTGCCGCTTTACTAAGAGTTGATTAATAAATTAGAAAAGTGCGATTAGGTCTTGATGGGGCACAACGCTCTTTGTACATGGTTTAATTATTTGTAAGATTTGTAGCATATTGAAAAATTAAATCTCAACAACAAGGTTCAAGTGCCCACCATAACTACTGTCATAGAATATTTAAAACACAAATGAGTAAAGATGACCGGGTATAAGCGCCTTTAACTGTCGTACTACACGAGTTAACCGGTACTAATGAAATTGTGAATTTGATGACCCGAGAAGAAACAAAAAATAGAGGATAAGAAAGCTACAAGAAAAAATCTTAACAATGCAGTTATTTGTGGACATCTCCGTTTATCCCTAACCATTGAAATTAACTAGGTACGTAATGTATATGTCACCGTTAAATTGTAAATACCGTTAGACTATAATCTATCTCGCGAGATTGTAAACTTTCGAAAGATTGTGAACGTAAAATACTGCTTACAATTTAAAGCATTATTTTTCAGCAGATTATAATCTATCGAAGTGAAACTGTTAAATCACAATCTGTCGCTCGTTAAATTGTCAACTGACTGAAAGCTGTCCCTGATTGGTCGGTCTTACAGAAGGTCGTTCTGTACCCATATAGTTAAGAATGAAACACAGGTGTCAGTCAAATAAAATAAATGCACTTCAAGAATTGTGACATCAAGTATTTATTTTTATTTAGTAGGTAATCAATAATTCAGACATCACATGGTAAGAAAGAATTGTCACAAAATAAAAAGATCAGAAACAACAATATTTTCTCCTCAAACACAAATTGAAATTGTAAAAACAATGAGATATTCTCTTAGTAAAAACTAAAATAAAAAAATAAAAATTGATAACATAAGAAAATTGTCTTAGAAAAAAAATTTGAAAGTAAATTGCACCAATAAAAATGTTCACTTATTGTTGCACGTCTACTAGCTGTGGCACCTGGAGTTACAAAGAACATTTGCTTTCTTCCAATTAATTACACTTACTGGAAACATATCTTTCATTTTTTATTTTTAGTGATGTTTTCTTTGTCAATATTTTAATCTAGTTTCCCCTATTTTTCTAAATTTATGCTGTTCGTACTATCTAAAAATATTTTTTCCTGCTTATTATCTGGTTTATTAATAATAACATCTTTTGTTTTTAATGTTAATTTGTTCCAACACAATTATTTCATGACTTGCTGTTGTTTTTTCTTCCTGTTCAATGTTCTGAGTGGTCAACTTTTGAAATATTTATTTTATTTACGTTTTTCTGTTCTACCTTCTTCTGAATTTTGTTCTTTGTTGTTATTAATCTCAATTTTTCTACATCATTTTCTAGTTTGGATATTATAGTTTTAGATAAGTAGGTGGATGAGAGTTCGAGTTTTGGATACTCGCCAAACAAGGCTTTATATGGAGTTCGAGCAAGTGTTGAATGGTAAGTTGAATTTTTCTGGAACTGAACGAACTAGCACCCAATGGACCAATTAGTAGGTTTATTATTATCTGTCATCCATGCTCGAATCATATTTTTTGCTTCTTGATTTGAACGTTCTAAATTTCCTTGACTTTGCGGATATCTAGGTCTCCATTATCTATTTTACAAGCAGACCACAAACTGACTATTTATTTAAGCACTGATGCTGTGAACTCGCGGCCAACGATTTGGATCATTGGATTATCAATTTGGAGGATATGAGGGCAGCCAACTTCCAAAAAAATCTTAAGAACCTCGATTGCCACTTCTTTAGCCCGTTTGCTTTTTAATGGTCATAAAAAACAATTTTGTTAAATGGTCCTGATATTGTAATAACCATTTATACTCATGATCTGGAGATGTTTGGAAGTCTACAAGATCTACTTGTCCCCTACGATTGAGTCCTCAGAAATCAACGTTTTTACAACAATTCCTTTTTGTGGAAAGCTTTTCTTTGATTGACATGACTGTTTTACATTAATTTAGGAATATTGAAAACGCAAATATTGGCACCACATATTTATCGTTCAAGGCGTGACCAATTTTGTCTTGACGTCCATGTCCAGTGGCAGTATGTGCGTCGAGTATCTTTTGATAATACTCTTTCGTTGGAATTATTTGTACTACAGGATCTGAGATATCATTTCTCTTCATTATTAAAACTTTCTTGTTACTAGTATTCACTACATCGTATTTTCTTACATGATGGTAATGCTTATTTGAGACCTTGAGACCCTTGAGATTTGATTGTGTTATACTCGTGTAACAATTTTATCACATTTCGTATTCTTTGATTTGTCAACAAATTCATCCTGATTAACAATAACTGGTATTTCTGAATTTTGTTGATGGACAGGCTTAATATCCGACATTGTGAATGTTATCAAATGAGATCACATAGATTCACGCTCATAAAAAATATTAAACAGAAAATGTATGTAATTTAGGCTATGTTGGGTGACTAACACTAACTTATTTATCATAACAGCACTTTGGTTAATCACAGATACATTGTACTTCCACAACAATTTTATGTAACTAATTCTAAAGCTGTGAGTTATTTTCAACACGAAATCAATTTCATTTCTTGTCAATCACCAAAACACTGTTTGTTTACATCACAGAACACAATTATTCTCTACCAAGAGGTTTACATTCGACAACAAACGAATTAAACAAAATATGGCGGCGCGGGGCATATGCCGTTCCACCAATCAGCGCGGTGCGTACTGTCGCATGCCATTTCACAATTTGACGGTTTCTCATCTACCGAAAAATACTGCGTTAAATTGTAAGCAGTATATTACGGTTCATAATCTTTCGACAGTTCACAATCTCGCGAGATAGATTATAATCTAACGGTATTTACAATTTTACGGTGATATAATATAAGTGACCAGAAATTTTTTGCCGTTTACATTTATTTATCCACAAAGATGTATATTTTGTAAATAAAAATGAGATTTGTACCCATAACAGTCTTTATTTTGTTAATAAATATTCCTAAACTATATGTACAATTATAATATTTTCTACACATTTAAATATTTATATAATAATAAAATAATTGTCTACTATTTTGATGAAAATTGGCAGTTCATTGCAATTACTAAAATTCGAGTTTTTTTTTACACTTTCTTATAACACTAAGTAACATAACGTAAATGGAGTGTGACTGGAAATATATATATATATACATTTTCAAAGGAATAGCACCTTATTCACAAAGTTGTCTCTCCTTTTAAATTAGCCATATAGCCCATCCACAAGTCCACTTCTGTACTTGGCCTTCCCATTGCCACATTGACGATTCTGAACCATCTGCATCACTCAACTGAGGTTTTCCTTTGTTCAAGGTCACGATAACTTTTTTGAACAATATTTAGTATAAAAACTTCTAGACAACTCATATTGGTACAGAAATGCTTAGTATACTTTTAAGCTACGAGGGAATATACGATGCAGGAGAATATGACTGAATCAACCACACAACAATTAATGTGGAGTAGTCCCTTTGGTATCCATTTTGTAGATTAGTCTTTCTTCGTTGAAGAATTATCAATAACAGTAGCATATTTTAAATGCAGTGTCAATTTTTTAAGCTAATCCGTTTATAATATAGAAAATAATTTTGCATATCTAAGGCCTTTAATAAATTATTTCATGGAATTATCATTTTGAAGACTTATAGTTAAAAGGAATTAAACTTATGCAAACTTTAACTTATTTCAACTGTACACATATAACAACACTTAATTGGTACATACAAACAGTCTGAAAGAACAATATAAACATGTTAATTTAAACATTTAAATATATTTTTCAATTTCACTTGTTCATAACAAACTATATATAACAATCGCAATGCTATAAGCAACATCTGTTATTACTCGATAACGTTCCTATAATATTGTTCGCCATTGGTATATCATCATTTCGGGAAGTAGAACTCGATGTACTGGGATTGACTCCAGTGGATCGCTTGCCCAGTTTTTTTATAATTGTGGGTTCTGGCTCGCTGGACTCTGCATGCGGAGTAACATGCTGGTAGCATACAGCCGAGGCGTGCCCCGAACGTACGGACGTTAGAGGAGTACCGGTCTTCCATGTATCCGTGGTCGGGTCGTACACTTCTACTATGTCCAGGAATGATGTTCCATCGTAACCACCTGTAATTAACGACAAATTCACGATTCGTTAATAGGATTCATCTCAATAACAATAAATGGTACGGATTATGAACGCTGATCTTTACAATGCAGTAAAGTTAATAGATCTGTTTGGTATTACGAGGCTATGAAGTGAAGCGCAGGGCGGTGTCACCTATTCCACTGTTCGTTCAGTCAATAATTGATGCAATCCGAAGTACAAAAACAAGCCCAACCAAAATGCTTGTCGTCTGCTATTAACGTTTTTATACTATATCATACATAACTATTGAATTAAACAGTTCCCTGTCTGTGATATTTGAATCGAAAGTCAAGACGACTCGCAACTTTTACGCTGTTGCCATTTGGGTACTTTAGCGGGGTTTTGTTTGGGTATCTACTGTAAACGAGATGGTACACCACGATTTTACTTTACTTCACAAACTGGGACAAACAAAAAAGATAAGTGACGCCGAAATCCGGCTCAACCTTTACACGAACTCATTTCTTTTTTCTTTTTAAGCCTGTAAAAGTCCACATCTGGACGCATAAATATGTCTACTCTGTACACACACAATAATTTTAATTCGTATCGCTGACTAGTCTGTTCCCGAAATAAGATTTTCTTTCAAACTGCAGTTTACACTTTAGACTTTTTACTGGCATTTTGATTCTCAGTAACTTACCCCTTAGTAATGCTTTAGCTTATGGTCTAAAGCCTTTCACAAAATCATGATAATGAGAAGAAACAAGACGAGCTATGTCCTGCGGTAGTCGAGTAACATGGTTTTGGTATTGGCTACATACCCATTGCGTAGAGTTTGTTGTCGAGCACGGTGAGTGAAAGTGCAGAACGAGCGACTTGCACGGGCGCGACCACTTCCCACGTGTCACGCTCCGTATCATATCGCTCCACCGAGGACAGCTGCTGTGATCCGTCGTACCCACCCACCACGTAGATATACTGATTTAGAGCCGCCACACCTGAAATTACACTATGCTTAGTAGATATTTGATATAGGACTTAATATTAATGTCGTGCCGAGGTCACTTCCCGAAGTCGTCAGTAAGATTAAGGGTTTACTAAACTTTTTCGAGGAGATATCATGGTTCTAAAAACTAAATTATTCCTGTCCACACGTAAAATACGCGCTTTGGACGTGGAGTTGCGGAAAATAATCCGTTGCAAACTAGTTTATATGTGGTAAGGTTTAAACTTTATACGTAGAAGAGCCACGCTACGGCTATATTGTAGTTATAGCACGAATGAGTTCGTTCGACCAGGGAAGGACCACGGTTTCACAGAATACCAGTGTAAAATAGCAGTTTAATGTTGCTGTGTTTCTTATGGTGAGTGCAGGGAACCGGAGAGCTAACCTTTTTTACTGGAAATGAGATATACCATCTTAGTCTTTAGGGGTGACAATACATCTGCAATTTGATTCTTAATAGAGGATAGACGTAGATGTATATGGGCTACAGTATCCACTTACATCAGGTGGACTGTGCGTTTGTTTGTCACTCTTATTCAATGAAAAAAAAATTAACTACATTCAGGTCAACTTAGTAATAACAATTCATTTAATTAATTAATTTCCTTTTCCCCTAATGCCCGGCCGTTTGGTCTCCGCTATCGAGTTCCGCTTCAGTCTGGTTGGGTTTTTATTTATGTATTTTGTTTTATATGAATTAGTATTATATTCATAAGTCCCAGCTAGATGAGAATACTATAAAATATCTATAATAATTTATTAATTTCAGATATTTATTATCAATAGTTACAAACGAAAAACTCCATTTAACAAGCAAAATCATTTAAAACTAGCCACACGTCTCGGCTTCGCCTGGATAAGATCATTTAATTTAGCATTATTTAGATTTAATACCATTTTATCAGTTTTCAATATTTTTTAAAATCTCCAAGTTTTTCGGATAAAGTGTAGCCGAGATCCCTCTTGGCATTGCTCTCTATTTGTTCATAAAGTTTCATCACAATCGGTTCAACCAGACAGAGATAAAAAATTTGAAAATTGTTGTTTATTTCCTATAATATCTCAATAGCATGTAAATAATTTTCCGAGCTTAATAGAAGCGAGTTGTTTCAATATTACATACTAAACTAACACTTCAATTTTATTTAATATTACAATGTCTTACAAGGGCGACACTGAAAGTTTTTAGAACTGGCCACTTGTAAACGATATAATAAAAAATAAACTTTAAAATTTGAAAATGGAACTCTTTGCCAATATTATTGTCTATGTATTTTATTAATTTGTCATTTGTTCACGATTTGGCGGCAAATTAAAAATTGTCTGTGTCACGTCAGCACACAGATTACCCCCTAATAGATACCGCATTATTGAATATTTGTTCTGTTTCGAGTTCACCAAATTTGGCCCTATGCAAGGGTTGCGGGGGACGTGGCAAATGCGCTTTGATTGGATATTTGATATATACCCATAGTGTGGAACAGGGTTGGGACGTTGATCGAATAATTTGGGATTTATTGATTATTGATAAATAAATATATTGACCAATTTTTATTTGATGTTTATTAAAAAATTAAACAATGCATACATATATTTGTACATTTAATTTATATATATATATATATTTGACTGATTTTTAAAATGGATAAGCTTAGTATAAAATTGTCTCACAGAATTCTTAGGATCTGTCTTCCTGGATAAGTAGAGTAATCTTACGAGGATGTCTATGTATTTTTCCATAACACTCTTAGCTAAATCAATGACATGATTACAACTTTCGTGATCGAATTGGTGATTTTTTTATTTCATGAAAAATATCCTCATTAACAAAACTGCTTAATGTTTGTGTTAAAAAACCTGGGCGACCATCTACAGATCTGTACAACTTTCCTAGTGTTTTTACAGAGGGTAAAGAAGTATTAAATGTTTTGCGTACATAGTTATAAGCTTTAATTGAGTAATTTATGGTGAATGCAACTGTGGTGAATATTTTTTTCTAACAATTTTGCCTGGTTTTCTAGATTTTGATTTTTCTAATGAACTTAATGCGTCATTGTTTTCCGCTGTTAATGAATTTTTGTTTTCTAATTCTACCAATAATGATTTCAAAGAAACTATTTGTCTTTTTAGTCTTCTGTTGGAATCACTTAACTTTTTAACTTTTTTATCTTTTTTGTTCATTACGTTGGTTAATTCGATGATTCTTCTACAAAGATGTTTTAACTGGAGTATCAAATGCAGATGGCGTATCACGTATAGGAGAAAATTTTCTTTTTTGTTTTGTAGGTGTTTCTAAGCAATGACTCTGATTTTTAAGTGTTGGCGGGTTTTTCGCGTCTTTCAGCGGTGAACCAGTAATCTAAATCAGAAATACATTTTCGTTTCTTTTAAAACATTACCGATATAGTATTATTAATTAATACACCATACGGCACGTCTTCCAAATTTAGATGTACTTAGTAATTATAATAAGATATTACCGAAGTTCATGTAACACTAAATAGCAAGTCAAAACAATAATCACATTATAACTTTTACTTGTTTTATGATTTATAAATCCGTTAAAAATAGCTTGATTTCGACGTGTAACATTTACCTAAATATAAGAATATCATGTTTCACTCAACCACTTAATGATATTATTGTGTAATCTACGTTAGTACTAATCTTTAAAAAAAATGCAAAAGTCCATACTAGAACTGGCAAGATTAGAGATGGTACAGCGGAGTCCAACAGCCTTATACGGTTTTTCATAATATTAAGAAGATTGTCTTCTGTGAAGTGATTTGAGCAAAGTACACTATTTTTGGTGGGAAACCATTCGTCCCCTCGACAAGTTGCTTAGATCCATATTTTTTTTCCTTTCGAAGCATTTAGGAAACCTATAACATAATAGGTACCACAATGATATGTCACTATTTTTATAAAATAATATGACTTCGAAAAAAATAATTAAACGATGACCAAACAAATATCGACTTAAAAATCACAACACTATCGATACACGTGCTGTTGTTAGACAAAGACAACTATTGTAATTTACGTAACGAGTGAAAGGGACATTTCAAAAAGACATCAACGGATGCTTAATTGTTATCACTTTGCACCATTAATATATCAGTATAAGTTGATCTCCGGTCATAGATTACCTTCCGGTGCATTTGAAATAGGTTAACGTGATAAGAATAGAATTTACTTACCGATTAAAATTTATGCCATATTTTTGATAACTGGATGTCTTAGCTGACTTGTCACACCATTTTACTGCACAGGAAGCCATTTGTAATGTATTTTGGATACAAAACTATTTTTAAATTGTCAAGAACTCGGACGTGCCTACGGATCACAAACTTGGTCGATACTGATGTCGTGATTCTTAGCGTCACTTCGTATGCTAGCTACAGCAAGTATGTGTTGCGCGCGTTTGTGGCCCTGTATGCGGAATCTATTAGGGGGTAATCTATGCGTCAGGATGAATTTAACGCGAGAAAATTTTCGTACAATCATTTTTATGACTTTCGATGTCATTTAAGTCGACAAGAAAGTTATGATAGACTTCGATTGGCCTTTCACGATGAAAACCGATCTCGTGCCACTGTTTACAATTGGTTTAATGAGTTTGAACGTAGTCGCACTCATCTCACCGATGATTTGTGTGAGGGACGGCCTTCTACGGCGACGACTAAAGATAACATCAGTGTTGTGCGGCGTATGATAGAGACTGACAAAAGAGTGACTTATCATCAGATTCGGGACAAGCTTAGGCATCGGTATGAGTTAAGTGCATAAAATCCTCCATGAACGTTTAGCGGTCAGGAAGCTTTGTGCCCGGTGGATACCTCATAATTTGGCAGAGGCCCAAAAACTCCGTCGTGTTGATTGGTGTCGTGAAATGGTTCAAAGATTTAATGGAGGTGACTCAAATGCTGTGTTCGACATACTTACGGGTGACAAAAGCTGGATTTATTGTTACGATCCTTAAACTAATAGACAGTCTGGTCTGGGTGTTTCCTTCCGAGGAGTTGCCAATTAAAGTGAAGAGAGGTCGAAGCGTGGGAAAAATGATGGTGGCCTCGTTCTCCGGAAGGGCAGGTCATTCACATTCACATCACGCAACAATTGTTTTAGAGGATCGAAAAACAGTTACTGCAGAGTGGTACACTAACAATTGTCACCTGTACTAATGGGTGTACCTCAGGGCTCGATTCTCGGCCCATTCCTGTTTCTGGTGTATATTAATGACTTACCTCACCTTGTAGGGGATAGTCATGATATAGTATTATTTGCTGATGATACTTCCTTGATTTTTAAACTTAAACGTCAATCATTTAAATGTGACGAAGTGAATAATGCTATATCAAAATTAGTGCATTGGTTTAACGTTAATAATCTGCATTTGAACGGAAATAAAACTAATTGTGTTAAATTTACAACAACGAATGTTCAAAATCTGAATACCAATGTGTTTTTAAATGGGGAGGAATTGAGCCCTGTTGTATCCACTGTTTATCTTGGCATCACTCTTGACGCAAAGCTCCAGTGGGGCCCCCATATATCCAAATTAGCAAGCAGACTAAGTTCTGCAGCCTATGCTGTAAAAAAGATTAGAGGTCTCACTAGTGTCGAGACAGCTAGAAGATTAGTTTATTTTAGTTATTTTCATAGCATAATGTCTTATGGGATTTTGCTATGGGGAAATGCGGCTGATTCAGAAACTATTTTTGTTTTACAGAAGAGGGCCATTAGAGCTATTTACAATCTAAAACCGAGAGAGTCTCTTAGAGATAAATTTAAAGAAATTAATATATTAACTTTGGCCTCTCAGTATATTTACGAAAATTTAATGTATGTTCACAAAAACAAAGATAGTTTTAGTAAAAGAAGTGATATACATTCTGTAAACACTAGGAACAAACACAAGCTAGTGATACCAGTTTCTCGACTCCACAGAGTCAGTAATTCATTCTTGGGGCAATGTATACGCTATTACAACAAGGTCCCGGAAAGTGTACAGGTTCTCTCTATTACCAAGTTTAAATGTTTTATTAAGCTGAAACTGTATAAAAAGGGTTATTATAGTATAAATGAATACATGGTTGATAATAACCCCTGGGAATGAGGTGATCGCTTCCAAGCAGTTTCTAAAATAAATTTTGTAAATAGTTCGTAATCATTTATATTGTAAAATTTATTTTAAAAAAAAAAGTCCCGCTGGGTTTTTTGCTGGTTCTTCCCAGGACAGAGGGTTTATTTCGAACCAGTGGTAAAGTAAAAAATGACTTTCAATAAGAATTACACATGTAATGTATATTGAATAAAAAATATTCTATTCTATTCTATTCTATTCTATTGTTTGCCACTTGTCTTGGAAAAATTTCGGAAGAAACGACCTCGCAGTAGGATCATCCTTTACCACGACGACGCCTCGTCGCACACCGCCAAGCAAACAATTGACTACTTGGCGATGTCAGACGTGGAATTACCGTGTCACCCGCCCTATAGCCCCGACCTCGCACCTTACGATTTTTATTTATTTCCGAAAATAAAAGAAAAACTTTGAGGAAAACGTTTTATGGGCGCCGAGGAAGCAGTGGCTGCGTTTTAAAATGCCGTCGAAGAGGCTCCTAAGGACGAATGGGTAAAGTGCTTTTCTCTGTGGTTCTATCGGATGCAGCGATGTATTGATGTAAATGGATTCTATTTTGAAAAAATACAATAACGTGCTAGTTTGTTCAGTTTTTGATTTTCTAAGAACTTTCAGTGTCACCTTCGTATAGCCAGATAATTATTACTTCTTTCTTTATGTTCAAATATTATTGATTATTAATGTGTTTTTGTTACTTGATTAAAGATTGTTTATTACTTTCTTATTTTATAGTAGAATTTAGCACGTCTTGTAACATGGCATGTCTCTTTGAGTACAGAATATAAATTATCTATTTAATCATAAATTTTATTATTGCTACTTTGCTTGCGTTTTAGATTTTATGAAAAGAGTAAAAGATGTCTTCCCCAAAGAGCCAAGTATCATGTTAATATTTTATGTATAAGTATATATATACCTACATGTATGTAGGTATTATTTATATATTTATTATCATCATCATCATCATCATTACAGCCTATCACAAGTCCACTGCTGAACATAGGCCTCCCCCAAGGAATGCCACAAAGCAGAGTCCTGAGCCACCTGTCTCCACCATATATATATATATAGTATATAAAAGTATTTTTTAATATGTTTTTGTATATTTTTTGAAATAACGTGTGTATCAAATAAATAGTTGTTTCTTTCTTAGCCTAAGAGAGTAGTAAATGAGAGCGTGTTAAGTGTTACGTACCGGCTCCGCTGCGCGCTTGGTGCATGTCGGCGACGCGGGTCCAGCAGTTGTTCTCGGGGTGGTAGCACTCGGCGGAGCGCACGCGGCGCGCGCCGTCGAAGCCGCCCGCGGCGTACAGCAGCCGGTTGACCACGGCCACGCCCACGCCCAGCCGCGCGCTGCCCATCGCCGCCACCTGCGCCCACGAGTCCGTCTCCGGGTCGTAGCTGCGGAGTGCGGACGGAGTGCGGGAGTGCTCACACGTGTGCATATATTTGAACGTGCTAAAGCCATCTTGCAGCTATATTAATAGTATAGTTGTAGCACTAATGGCTCGGCTCGACCGGGGAAGGACCACGCTCTCACAGAATACCAGCGCAAAATAGCAGCTTAACACTGCTGTGTTTCGTATGGTGAGTGCAGAGAACCGGCGACCCTTTTTACTGGAAAAGAGGCATTCCATCTTAGTCCTTACGGGTGATAACACATCTGCATTTTGATTCTTTATTGAGGATAGACGTGGATGTCTATGGGTCACAGCAACCACTTACCATCAGGTGGACTGTGTGCTCGTTTCTCACCCTATCCTATAAAAAAAATATCTACGTCACTTGTTCGTGACCGAGACTCATTTACCAAACGAGCCGCATGCTCGTTTGCTCCCTTTTATATATAAAAAAAAACAACCCGTCTCCACGCCACCCGAATGATCCATTAATGTTTTTATTAACTCGCTTTCGTATATGTCTGTTCGGGTTGAATCAAGCAATTGATTTTAAACTATTTTCCCGATTCATTTTTAAGCTTCACACTTCCGGCGTTATGTCAACCAATATTGGCCGACAGGCGTATCATGTCCTGTTGCCCTACACCTACATTAGGCGATTACCTAGTATTCACGATTCGCTATTAAATAGAGAAGTTGCATGATTTTTAACTTTTTTTTAGTTTACTAAAAATTATTAAGAAAAATTAACAATTAATTTTTCATGTAATTTTTGGCTTGCGGTGGCGGCTAACCGCGAGCCGCGCCTCCAGCCACTGCAACAACACACCACCGCGGTCGTAGTGACGGTCTGAAGCTCCATTCTCTGTGGTGTCTGTGCTACGATCAAACGTCAGTCAATATGAATAACCGTGACGATGTCTTTTTATTCTAATTATATTTAGTAATATTATCCCATATTTTTAGTTTTTAATCCTAATGCTTTTGTAATCAAGGCGTGAAGTGTCATAAAGTACTGGATAATTTTGCACTGTTTATGACACATGGTGATCCAAATATAGAAAATACAAAGGTATAGCATGATTGCGATTGGCTCACAGCCTCAACGTATATAATGACGTCACCAAACAATCACAAATAGTTTTTTTTTTCATTCAAAAATTTAACTATTTTTTTTGCCAATTATTACTAAAAAATGGAATTGTTAGTAAAAAATATTTAAATATACTTAAAATGAATTATTCTTTCATTTATATATAAATTTGTGGCAAAAATATTAATGCAACTTGTCTATTAAAAAGTAAACGCTGTTTAATATTTGGTCAACATAGATTAAAGACAAGGCCGTAATTGAACGTTTTTGAACGTTTCAGATTGTTTTAACACGTTTTTGTTTTGCCACGTTAAAGGATATATTTTTGAAAGTTTGTAGTGAAGAAAATGTATTGATAGGTGCGATTTTATAACCTCTTTGGATATAATATTGTATTGTTACGCAAATAAAACAAATACCTTTTTATATAACGGTTTCATTTCATAATCCTTACCCTTTATGTACTAGAAACCGGCAAAATTACATCAAACAATTTTGAAATGAGATTAATAATGTTTATAAAGGTAGAATTTAATATTTATAAAGTAGAATTAAATATCTTAATTCATAACGATTCGATACGTATAAGTTTTATATATAGCTGACATAGAAAATTAAAAAGATATGATTGTTTTATCGCCTGTCAGAATCAGGCGACCTTCCGTAAAAAACAATGGGTTTGCGCTTGAGGAGTTCATCGGAAAATTTTAAACATAACTCAGAAAAAGAAGGCAATGAAAAACTTTACAAAAAAACGTATATTAAAAAATACATCAATAATTATTTCAATATTGAAGTGACAAGCGAATTTACAGTCAACCTAATTGTAACTTCAGCCCATGGACACGTGCAACCAACTTTTAACAAAAAAGACTACATATGCGTTGTCATCACTCATATGTTTTCATTCGCTAATTCATTACAGCCTACTAAAGCTTTTTTAAATAGAAAAGTTGGCAAACGAGCATGCGATGATAAGTGTCATCCACTGCTGAATATACATAATATATTATCTCATAAGAAGGATGTAGCGTTGCCAACACAAATTTGTCAAATTCCCCGAAAATCCATGTCAAATTTTAACTAACATCGCTTTTTTACCGAAATTTTTTTTCACACTTTCCATATCTTTGTAACAAGAATTTTACTCCATGGAGTATTTTTTATTCCTTGCCTTCTTGCCATTAAAAAGTACCAAAGTATTTGCATTTATATGCCCGCGGTTCTCTGGTTTAAAAAAATTAAAAGCATTAAATGATACACAAATGTTGCCGAAATAAATCCGAAAATTAAATGTGGTACAATAAAGATAATTAAAAAAAAGAGAGTCATTGGATATTCAGAAGTAATCTAACAAAAATGTAACCACAGTATTTAGATTTTTTGAAAAAAGGTTCTGACTTGGTCCGGGCTTTCGATTTTCAAAATCCCCGCATTTTCCCCGCAATATGGGGAATTCCAGACATGTTGGCAACGCTGCATGCTTGGCATGCGGGTTGACAACCCTGCTCCCCATCTCCTGATTTGCTTCTCTCTGTCGCCTCTTGCGACACCCATAGGAGGACGATATGGGGTAGTGAATATTCTTTAACCGCCCCTACACAGTCAAGGAACAATATGGATTGCCTCACTGCTTGCTAACAGGAATACCGGTGGTAGAAAGCATGAAGCAAATACAAAGAGGAGACGTTGTAATTGAATTTCACTATGTAACAACGCGTGACAATTTGCGGGGTGAGGGGATGCAAAGCCCCGCCCACTTTGCACTATCTACATCTACCGATAAATGGTAAAACTACTCGAATCGTTCCATATCGATGTTGCAATGTAGTTTAGCTACCTTGACGGTAGATGGCGGCATGTCTACAAAATGTTATAAACTATAAAAATAATATTTCGGCGATTAAAATTTCTTTATATCTCAATGCAAAACAAATTTCAACACCTTCGTATGATTATTTTATCATTACTGAGCTCTACGTACCTTTATATTTTTAGTTCACATGACACAAAGTGTCGCCATCTAGTGTCGAATATATTTAATTATATTTGAAAGCCGACGCAGAGATTTTTCTAGAACTATTTTAATAAATTAGGTGTAAAATTATTTACAAATGAAATGTGATGCCTTCCATAACATCAGAGCGTCCATCTGAGTATTTTTTATACGATAAAACACAACACTTCATCCTTTTCTTCTTAGTACTACGAAAATAAACCAATTTGCGATTTTGCAACACATAAGCGCACAGGACGAATGCTGACAGTATACTAACTAAAGCCCCGCCCACTATGATGACGTCAGGACCTACTTAGAATCACAGTGCACAGTTGCTTATGCCGTCTCCTTTTTGTATTTGCTTCATGGTAGAAAGGTGAAAAACCTTGATTGTTCTAAGCTAAAATTAAACTCGAGAGACGGCGTTGTTATTGTGATCCAAGAATCACCCATGCGAAGCCGGAGCGGATCGTAAGTTTATTATATAATATCTTGATAAAGCCCAAGTCTGGCAGTGGAGTAAAATGGCTATTCATGTCATGTAATTAAACACGAATTCATTTACTCGTTTATTGTGGAAGTTACATAAGTTGATATATTTATGACCAAAGTGCAGGGACATACTCGAACCACATTAAGCCAAAAAATATGGGTTTAAATGGAAAACTGTGAAAGATGTGATAGGTGATTAACCCGCCGTCTACACAAGCACAAGCCTAAATAGTCGCCTAGCAAGTAACACAGTTGGCACATACTCCTTGTTGCAAGTCCTACATAAACACGGAACTTATAAGTCCCGGACCAACTTGGGTCAAATTCATTCATTCATGCAATTTACTTTATTTATGGCTCATTTTACGATTTACAATACTCTGATCAAATATTGAGGTCATTAAGAGTATCATTTTTAAACAAAGGCTAAATCTCGAATAGTTTATGAATATTTTCTTCTATAATCACTAAGTAATGAAGTATCTACGCAAGTGAATGTGACTTACCACTCAACTGATTTATGATACTCCGACCCTGCAGATCCACCAACTGCATACAATAAACCGTCCATTACTGCAACACCTACCTGTTGGTTATAAAATTGTAGGTTATCTCATATATAGTCGTTTTTTTTTACATTAGAAAGTGGCAACAACAAGAAAGTTCCAACTAGAGGTGCGCTATGCAAACCGTATCCTGATTCGAAATTTATATATTGGTCCAATATTTAAAAACCGCTTACTGGTTCGTTCGAAAACTATGTGATATTTGCGTACCGCCGCGATGCCTATATCGCATCGCATCGGTCGGTGGCTAGATTCGCCGTGTGCGACAGAGCGCGAGCGATATAGATATTAAAGTTTAATTTCTGTTGCCTAATAATGATACATTTCAAACGTTATTGTTTTTTAAAGCCTAAAATTGAGAGCATATTATATTATTTTATTTAGAATTTTCAATTTATTTTTAGATCTGCCCGAATAAATGTAATGAAAATTCAATTCAGAAAATCGCAAACATACATAATATGTACATACATACGGGTCGAATAAAGACCTTCCTTTTTTGAAGTTGTTTTCAACAGCGTATTGGAGTAGATATTGAAATATATAGTTTTGAATATCTGATATATTGAGATTCAAAATCTGATATAGATACGATTCTCAGAAAACGCGATACGACCCAGGCCTAGTTCCAACAGCAACCAATGGACACCTGCAACCAACACAGAGGCTCAAACGACTTACCATTGTGAGATTACTGTACTCCACGAACTTTAAACAAGCAAGGCTACAAATGCTTTGTCTCACCTCTGAAGCTAAATATGGAATGTATCACAGCCTGTAATTATCCTGGCTCTCCTAGCCTTCAGAACGGAAGATTCAGCAGCAAATAGGTAAGAGGATCGTACACAACCAGTCTGACCTTTAGGCAGGAAAGATGTATTTTTTATACAATAAGAGTGACCAACATGGCCCACCTGATAGTAAGTGCTGTGGCCTATAGATATTTACATATGGCTTTCAAATGATTGTTCCGGGTTTATTTATGCAATTTACGTATGTAAAATGCCTTCATCATACAAGAGAAATTTAGGTCTTTTTTATATAATAAGGGTGACAAACGAGCACACAGTCCACCTAATGGTAAATGGTTGCAGTGGCCCATAGTCATTTACATCTATCATCGTTTGCGAATTAAAATGCAGATGCGTCGTCACCCGTCAGGACTAAGATGGAATGCCTCTTTTCCAGTAAAAAGGGTCTCCGGGTCTTTACGCTCACCATACGAAACACAGCAGCATTAAGCTGCTATTTTACGCTGGTATTCTGTGAGAGCGTGGTCCTTCCCCGGTTGAGCCGACCCATTCGTGCTACAACTATACTATTAACCGATTCGTAACGGCACCGATTTTCGTAACTTTTAGCTGTGGCGGCGAACAAATATTTCATAACACGTCTGGTATGTCAAGCGCCACGCCTATTGTGCCATCAGCCATGTGTAAAAATAATTTTCTTTTTTATGCTTTTTTCACTTGTTTAGACCTAATTAAGTTTAGTTGACATCAAACATCAGTTACAAACGGAAGGATACTGGCTCTACCACGTAAAAAGGAAGTTTTAAGAAAATATACGGACAATATCGAATATCGACTTCATATTCATGTAGTAGTTGGTAAAATTAATTGGACTGTTAACGAGGGCTAATAATCTTTCGCTCAATAGATGTCGCTAGCTGGGACTGAGGTGTTTTTTACACAATATAGTTTCATTGAGAAGTTAATTTTAAATAAAAGTTTTTGGAGCATTATATTAATACACAAAACAATGCTTCAGTGGTTTGCACTTTAATTTCTTGCAATTTTTTAAGTCTTTCAATAAATTTTTCTACTTTTAGGTATATCCGCAGTTTGGTTTATTCATTTCTAATCTAATTAATAAAACTACCATTACAGAAATAATCATTAGCCCATTCATTTTCCTAAGAAAAGAACTTCGCCGCTATGAAATCTATTAAATATTTCACTTTATTCCAAAGTGGTGGCAGAAAAAGTGGTGTGCTCACCCTGTGCCTGGGCGTGGCCATGGGGCTGCAGGGGCGCCAGTGCTCGGTGGCGGGGTTGTACACGTCCACCCAGTCGCTGTCGTACGACGAGCCCGGCGACGTGTTGCGCCCGCCCACCGCGTAGAACAGACCCTGCACACGCACACGCACACGTCCCATCGTCAGATTTTAAGGCAATAGGCCAAAGTGCACACCACGTAACATTTTTCAAACAAGATAAAAATAATTTGAACATAAAATTTGTGTGACGTAGTTTAAGGATGGCCCGATATGAGATAAAAATATCAAAGTATATTATACTGTACATATTGTTCCACAGGATATTTCTATCCACTGTGACACATACCTATATCATATGATTTAGACAAAAAAAGTATCCCGTATGTTCCTATAAATTTTATTACGAATGCAAATAATGTTTAGGTATGTACTCTTACTTAGAAGGTAAAATAGTTTAAACGACATCCTGGACAATATTAACATAACATGCATATTTGTAATCAGGAAGTTTTTTGCGGCTACTGCGACGCCATTAAAATCTGGTTTATTTATGCAATTTACGTATGTAAAATTCCTTCATCATACAAGAGAAATTTAAGTCTTTTTTATATAATAAGGGTGACAAACGAGCACACAGTCCACCTGATGGTAAGTGGTTGCTGTGGCCCATAGACATCTACATCTATCTTCTTTTGCGAATTAAAATGCAGATGCGTTGTCAGCCGTGAGGACTAAGATGGAATGCCTCTTTTGCAGTAAAATAGGTCTCCAGTTCTCTACACTCACCATACGAAATATACCAGCATTAAGCTGCTATTTTACGCTGATATTCTAAGAGAGCGTGGTCCTTACCCGACACTTTTAAAACTGTAGCTTAATCATTTTGCATAGCATGAGTCGCTTCAATTTAAAAAATAAATACTATTATATATTTAAAATTAATCCGTGATAGCATCAGCCAAATCGCTATGTAGCGATAAGGCCGCCAAATTGTACATAATATAATCTTATTTTTGTTATGTCATTTGTAAATTTGTTTGTGGTGTACAATAAAAGTATATTCATTAATTCATTATAATTCTAAACCGATAATTATCAGACACATATTAAATTAAATACTCGTAAATAATACCTTAAGAAAAGCAGCACCAAGTCCCGACCGTGGCACAGTGAGCCTCGGTAACGTCGTCCAACAGTTGTCGTCCAGGTTGAAAGCTTCAAATACGTCGATAGAATGCCTAAAGTAACCCCCGGCCACGTAAATTATTCGCGGAGTGTTCGGCCTCCTCTCCTTAACTACAGGCTTCTTATGTAATGTCAGATCCTGAAAGAAATATTTGAATTAATTGAATATCTGAGCTGCAAGATAAGAGAAGAATAGGTTTGTAACAAACACAAGCTAACGATACCAGTTTCTCGACTCCACGGAGTCAGTAATTCATTGATGCATTGTCATCCCAAGTTTCATCAACATCTCCAAGTTTAAATATTTTATTAAAAACTAAATAAAAAGGTTATTATAATGTGAATGAATACATGGTTGTTAATAACCCTTGAGAATGAGGTGGTCGCTGCCAAACTGTTTCTTAAATAAGTTTTGTAAGTAGTTGGTACAACCTTTCATATTGTATAATTTACTTTAATTGGCTTTCAATAAGAATTACCGGTAATCTATATTGAATAAAATATAAAACGTAATAGAATAGAATAATACTATTCTATTAATATTACGTAACGTGTTCTCTTATTGAACTTATCTTATTGTATAATTTACTTTGACAAAAAAAGTTCCGCTGGGTATCTTGCTGGTTCTTCCCAGGACAGAGGAATTGCCAAAGTAAAAAAAAATGACTTTCAATAAGCAATGTAATCTATATTGTATATAAAAAAAAAAAACTATTCTGTCTAATGATTTATTGCTGTAGCATCCATCCCATGCTGGTGCTGATGCTGGCATCCCAAACGATCGAATCAGGCCACCGAGAGCAGCTCATCCCATTTTAACCTGTTTCCTCTTCCAAAACTGGACCAATGTTTATTATTTGCCAATAAGAGAGAGAGAAAGAGAGAGAGAGAGAGAGAGAGAGGGAGAGGGAGAGGGAGAGGGAGAGAGAGAGAGAGAGAGAGTGGGAAAACATTCCTTCTAGTATTTTTCTTGTTCTTTGTCTGTACATTTTTCTTTTAATTTTAATGTATATTGCCACAGGTTGGACAAAATATCGTATTTGAGACAAGATCTTGACGCTCGAGAACTGATACTTTTTGAAATAGTATAGGCGGAAAAAAAAGTTTTTCACAAAAACGTTGTTTTTTTAAGTATTAACCATATAATATTTTTTTCAATAATATGAAAGGTATGTTATTGAATCAGATTTTTAATCGAATACATTTTTATTTCGATTCGTTACCCTATCCTGATAATAAGCAAAAACATTTTTAATAAAGTTCTATAATAACCTTTTGTCGCACGCTTACGCGTACGGCGGAGAAGGGAGAGCTAAAATCCTTTTAACGTCGGAAAGCTTCGTCTTAATGGAAATAAAAAATATTATCAAAATATACTTCAAATTACCTTAAATATTTTGGCAAGGTATTCCCTGCACGCAGGAACTTTTTTTAGCACCGTGCAAGAGTTCATTTGCTCTTTGAGAAAGCTCGGGGTTAAATACTGACACCGCACCGCTTGTAGAATGTGCTCCATGCGAGGATAGCGACGGTCCTCGTCATACTTCACCTGTAAACGCAATCGCAAAGTTTTTAATGACGTATTTAACTTTGACAAATATTCCAAACAGTGCTTGCCCGCTGGCTTTGAAAAGGCATATATCCAATAGTAGACGTAAAAAAACAATTAATAGAATCAGAAATTCATTATATTAAACATGTCAAGACTTAGCGGTCAACCATCGCAGTCTATTCCTACTGATGATGCCCTTTTTAGAGTAGAAACACATGTCGTATTATGGTGAGATGTCGTCTTTCCTAGTGTAGTAGTTTTGGGATTAGTGGTGAGTGGCGACGGGGATAGTGTACGTTATTCACAGGGACCGGCCGGTGCTCTTTAAACTAAGTAAGGCACATCAGATTGCACTCCTCACAACGCGAGGGATTGCTTTACTCTGGATATGTGGCCATACGAGGGCTGCACTAAAAGTATCGGGAATAGAATATTTCCACTGTTCCTGTCATATTAAAATCTTTTTAATTGAAAACTCCTTGGTTTTAAAAATCGAATACCATTTATTTATTTAAAAAAAGATTCTCGGTCTTGCCACAAGGTTTTATCAAACTTGTTTAGTCGTTGAGAAAATTGAATTGACTCGAGAAAATTCAAGAGCGATGATTTATTATGACTTTCGAAGTGGTTTAACACAAAAACAGTGTGTTGCCCGGATGATTTCTGCATTTGGTGATGAAGCCCCATCCAAAACCACAATTTATCGCTGGTTTGCTGAATTTCAACGTGGACGTGTCAAGCTCAGTGATGATCCCCGTCAAGGTCGTCCAAAAACTGCAGTCACCCAAGAAAACGTTGATGTTGTGCGTAAGCTGATTGAGGAACATCGACATGTAACATATCGCGAAATTCAGGCAACTATAGACATTGGCATGAGTCAAATACAAATAATCTTGCATGAACAATTAGGTGTAAAAAAGTTGTTTTCCCGATGGATACCGCATTCGCTCTGTGAAGACCAAAAAGCGGCTCGCGTTACTTGGTGCGTCAGAACTCTCGAAAGATTCCACGCAGGATCCTCAAATGCTGTATACAACATCGTATCAGGTGACGAATCCTGGATATACGCGTACGAACCCGAAACAAAAAACCAGTCACGAGTTTGGGTGTTCGAAAATGAGTTAAAGCCAACAAAAATTGTTCGTTCACGGAGTGTTGCAAAAAAAATGGTGGCCACGTTTGTCTCCAAAACCGACCATGTTACGACTATTCCTCTTGAGGGACAAAGAACGGTTAATGCAGAATGGTATGCTAGCATTTGTTTGCCACAGGTCGTTTCTGAACTCCGTAAAGAGAACTACAACCGCCGCATCATCCTCCATCACGACAATGCGAGTTCTCACACCGCACACAAAACAAAAGAGTTTTTAGAGCAAGAAAACATAGAATTATTAGACCATCCGCCGTACAGCCCCGACCTAAGCCCTAATGATTTCTATACTTTCCCTAAAATAAAGAATAAATTGCGTGGACAGAGATTTTCATCACATGAAAAAGCTGTGGACGCCTACAAAACGGCCATTTTGGAGACCCCAACTTCCGAATGGAATGGTTGCTTCAATGATTGGTTCCATCGTATGGAAAAATGTGTCCAATTTCGCGGAGAATACTTCGAAAAGCAATAAATACATTTTTAAATAGTAATGTTGTGTCACTTCCTTGATTCCCGAAATCTTCAGTGCCGCCCTCGTACCTCAATTTCACTGCATAAAATCGTTTTTATACTTTTAGCTAGACATGAAATCTATATTATTATTAACGTTACAATTTAGGTACAATTAGGTACAATTATAGTTACGGAAATGATTTAAGTGTTGTGGTTTATAAGGAAATCGTAGCAATAAATATAATAAATTATAAAACCATAATACGTTTCATTTTCATTTCACATAATTTGTTATGTGAAACGTATTATGGTTTTATAATGTATTATATTTATTGCTACGATTTAGTTACAAACCCATAATACTTAAATGATTTCCGTTTCAATGTATCCTTAATGGACGATATCTTATCTGAGCGACCTTATCGTTGAACTCTTTTGTACCTCCGTATTTAAAAAAAAATGCCAATCATTCTCGTATAACATTTTGCTATTTATCGATAATATAATTCCGTACCTCGCCCTTTTTGATATATTAAACCTAGGTCACCCATATAAGATAATCATGCGATATAAGCTACGTTTAACCGATAAGTGGACAACGTAACGTGGTAAACGTAGTCCGACCGCGTGGCCTAGCGGTTAGTGCTTGTCTCATGCCTGGAGGTACGTGCTTAGGTCCGGTTGCATTGCAATTGTCTTAATGTCTTTCATAATACACCCTAGCCTACTTACGCGATCTTATCAAATAAGTGTTACAGCACACAATCCTAGGTATGCGTCGGAATGCGACAAATCGCGACACGACAACACTATTCAGCGATTAACACTATATTACAGTCGCAATCCGATCAATGCGGCAACATATTAAGTCAATATGTTGCCGCAAAAATATATAAAGTCAATTGTAATACGCGTGCCATAGAATTTTTACCCAGTAGAAACGCAATCTAGTACAAAACACGAGCGTGTGCGCGAGTCGAATGTGTCTTTTTATTTTATAGGATAAGGGTGACAAACGAGCACACAGTCCACCTGATGGTAAGTGGTTGCTGCGGCCCATAGACATCTACATCTATCCTCTGTTACAAATCAAAATGTAGATGCGTTGTCACCCGTGAGGACTAAGATGGAATGCCTCATTTCCAGTAAAAAGGGCCTCCGGCCACCTGCACTCACCAAGCGAAACGCAGAGATAAACCTCTACTTCACGCTGGTTTTCTGTGAGGTCGTGGTACTACCCCGGTTCGAGCCGGCCCATCCGTGCGACAGCATGTATGTGTGTGTCATCATACGCACACATACAGGGCATTCAGTGATACCAGTTTCTGGCGTTTGCAATCAAATTGTGCAAATCACTATTTTGTGGATTCATTATAAATAATCGATAAAATAAAGATTATGTATTACGTATTATGATGTATTTTATAAGAATATAAAATGTAATATAATATAAACACGATAATGATGGTACTAATATAACTTTTATTATACATATTTTAATGGTACAAAAATGCAGACGTAATAAAATTTAAGGATATTATGTTATACACAATTATTCGATCGAATGCAATAAGGACATCGTGTAATGTTTAATTTTAACCAATCCAGGTTTGTATTCGTCACTCACATCGGTCACTGATAATTATTATATTTCGTATTTTGGTTTCCTATTTCAGTTGCCTAATCATGTCTGAAGTAAATTTTCCAATGGACTGACTTTGTATAAATATTTAATTTAAGAGAGTGCTGTTCATAGTAAAGTAGCAAAATCAGTAATATAACTGCCATGAAAACGATGAAAATTATTTTGGGCCATGACTAACGGCGGAATACAATGCAAAATTATGTACTCTAGAGCGAAGGCCAGTTTTAACGTAGACTAGCCATCTGCGCAGGACAGGATTATAGAGTCCGAGTTTATGCGCAAGCAGAGGTGCACTCTCTATTCTTTCACTCTGATAGTTCGACGGGACGGTAAACCGACACTACCGGAGAGAGATCAGGCGCAGGACCAACAGCTTTACGTGCTTTCCGAGGCACGGGGGTCAAACGCCGCCAACTTCCTGACTCCGGGCTGCTACTGAGAATTTTTTGATAGAAATTCCCATTTTTTTTTATAGAAGAGGGGGCAAACAAGCATTCGGCTCACTTGATGGTAAGTGACTGCCGTCGCCCATGAACAAGCGCAACACTAGGGGCATTGCAGATGCGTTGCCGGCCTTTTAGAAAGGAGTAAGCTCTTTCCTTGAAAGTCCCCAAGTCGTATCGGTCCGGAAAAATCGCCGGTGGTAAGCAATTCCACAGAGAAGTTGTACGAGGAAGAAAACTATTAAAACGCACAGTGTTGGACCGCCAAGCATCCAGATGATGAGGATGGTATCGTGAATTTTGACGCGATGTGCGTCCGTGAAATTTGGCGTCTGAAATTAATCCGAATAATTCCTCAGAGCCCGTGGTAGATTCGATGGAAAATGCAAAGGGATGCAACATCCCTACGCAGCGCCAGTGAATCGAGCCGATCTGAAAGAGCTCGGTTGTCGACGATTCGAACCGCTCTGCGCTGGATGCGGTCAAGTGGAAGGAGCTGGCACTGGGGTACCCCGGCCCAGAGATGAGAACATGTGAGGCCGATCCTGCGCCTTGTAAGGTTGCAAGCGATGTGCCGGCATGAAATACTGTTTATAAATATAACTAATAACTGATTTTAGTCTGACCTGGGACCTTAAGATCAGCAATCGCGGTTATGACCATTAGACCAATGAGGCAGTCAAAATTACTGAAACATGACATATTAATAATTTAAAATAAAAAAAATTTAAATTAAAGAGTTATTAAGAATAACTCAAAAACTATTGGTCTGACCTTGATCAAATTCATATGGGACCACACGAAAAGTATCAGCTTTCAAATAACAAAAGAATCATCCAAATTGGTTCACCCAGTAAAAAGTTATGAGGTAACACAGATAAAAACAACATACAGTCGAATCGAGTACCGTCTCCTTTTTGGAAGTCGGCAGAAAAAAAACATGTTGTTAACAGGCGTACAATGTAAGGCAGGTTCGAGGTCTTGTACTGCAATTGTGATACATTTATTGTGAATGATATACGTGTAACAAATTGAAATAAAAAAAAACTCACCCAACTCAATACTGCATTGTAAACCTCCCTTTCTTCCCTTACGTTAAGTTCATCTTTTCGTATGAGAGATATGAGTTCTGGAGCCGTTAGTTGTAAGAACTCCTCCTCTCGACACACCTGCAATTATTTTAATTATGTAACCAAATGCAAATCGAGAAAGAAGCTTGCCATAATAAAAGTGCTCTGACACATTCAGATCCCTTTAACCGACTACGGCGAAGTAAAAAGGAGGGTTAGAATTTTGACTGGAATGTATGTATATAGATATTTATATAGAATAAGTGACTAGCGAGCACACAGTCCAACCTTGCGCTGTTTACGATGCGTTGTCACCCCTAAAGACCAAGATAAAATGGCCGCTATCAGTAAAAATGGACTCTGTTTCTTGTCACTCACCATATGAAACACAGCAGCATGAAGCACTTATTTCACGCAGGTATACTGTCAGAGCGTATCCCCGTCCGAGCCGAATTGTTCGTGCTGCAACCATCATAAAGCTGGAACTTGACTCTATCACGTTAAAAACTATACGAGTAAATAGTATACACGCTATCATCATCATTATCATCATTACAATCTATCAAAGGTCAGCTGAATAAAGGCATACCACATAGATCACCTCATACTAATGGTAATATTTGCATAGCTACCACGCCTGGCAAGCGGGTCGGTCACTGCAGTTTTATTATTATTTTCAGTTGTTATCGGAAAGGTGCTGCTGTCGATCTACTATTTCAGTTTCTACCTGACGCCTATTACGATACGGTTATTGGACTTTTTTACGCTGCCACTACACGGCTAAATTATTATTATTATTATTATTATTTATACGATAGGGTGACAAACGAGCACACAGACCACCTGAGGGTAAGTGGTTGCTGTGACCTATAGACATCTACATCTATCCTCGTTTGCGAATCAAAATGCAGATGCGCTGTCACCCGTGAGGACTAAGATAGAATGCCTCTTTTCCAGTAAAAAGGGTCTTCGGTTCTCTACACTCACCATACGAAACACAGTAGTATTAAGCTGCTATTTGACGCTGGTATTCTGTGAGAGCGTGGTCCTTCCCCGGTCGAGCCGACCCATTCGTGCTAGAACTATACTACTAATATAGCTACAGCATGGCTCTACCACGTATAAAATATCAAATATTATTATATCTAAGGAGCAACTTAATTTTCCTATGGAGAATGGGACCACCACAAATTGTGGTGTAATTTAATGAAATAAATGTCGATTTATTCCATAGAATCTATAGATTACAGTAGTAATATTAGTTTCACCGTATCTAGACCCATTTAACTGGAAAAGAGGCATTCCATCTTAGTCCCCACGACTAACAACGCATCTGCATTTTAATTCGCAAACGAAGATAGATGTAGATGTCTATGGGCCACACAGCAACCACTTACCATCAGGTGGACTGTGTGCTCGTTTGTCACCCTTATTCTATAAAAAAAAAACTAACGGGAATACTGAGAAATTAAGAATTAAAATATGAATAACACACTAAGCTAAAAACAAACTAAAAGCGATTGTCTAGTAGTTTTCACCGGTATTATAAGTTAAAATAGTGCACTGGTCAATAATTAATAATATAAAAGAAAGTTGTAGGTACATTCAGCATTTATAGGTATTTTCAGGTTGATAGAAAATCCTTTTATTAGTTCGTTCTTCGGTACACGTATTTTTTTTTAATTATATTAGTCAGAACACGAATATCAAACAGCTCTTTTTTTTCTGATTCCAGTTAGATTTTCATAAAATTAAGTTACGTTAAAATTTCTAGTGGGCCTAGAAACGAGTGTCTGCTTTGTACTTTTATTAATTTAATTAATTTAGACACAAATCTATGTTCAGAAGGGAACGGTAGAGTCGGGAAGGGACGCCCTAGTTTAACTACCTAATTGGCGATATATAGGGTAAAAAGTACTAATGTTGGCACTCCTACAATGATTGGCACTTTGCTATTTTAATCTGAATATTAAGAAAGTTTTCCTTTTTCTATATCACAGCTACACAGATATTGCTAAGATATATAATTACTTATACTAACAATACACATTTATATTTAAAGCGTCAACTATTTTCCTAAAAGGGCTGTTTTAAAAATGTGTGTGGACAAAACCGTTAAAATTTTACAAAAAGTTAAGGTTTTGTGGCTAGATTTTGAGACAGAAATGTGATTTTCAGGTAAGTTTATATGCAAGTTTCTGTCTATTTTTATCAATTTACGTCATTAAAGCATATTAAACGTTATTTTATCGTTGTGAAATAGAAGCATCGGTTTTTTAAATTGTGCCAATGACTATACTTTACTTTGTTTGACTATATAATCATTGGCATATATGTCAATCACTATACTTTCTTTCTTTTGTCCAAAATCTATTCTTGACACTGCCAATGATTATATCCTTTGAGTAGTGCCAATGATTATGACTGACCTTTTTCATATTTTGAATTGATGAAGAATACCGCTATATAGGTTAACATATATAAAGGTTGTACTAAAAAAGTCACATCAAAAATGTATACGAAGAAAGAAAAAAACATGGTAGACCAACGAAACCGCTTTCAGATGAAGATCTAATGCGGGTCACTCACATGCGCGCAAACATTCGTACATTGTACGAATGTTTGCGCGCATGAAGAGCCGTCAGACATTCATTCGCAAACTTAGCGGATATGCAAATAGTTCGCATACTCAATTTCCTAACGCGTTTTCACTCCCTCCTACACTTGTTTACGAATGTCTCAGTCTTGCTTGCGATTTTGTGAATCGTGGACAATGAAGATGATTTTATTAGTGCACTTGGACTGTTTTACCTATGTTCATATACTTACATATATCATATGCTTCATGGAGCGGACCAGCGCAATCGCCAGCCACGGAGGAGAAGACGTATTTGGATGAGTAGATTGTACAGCGAAAGAACTAGGTAGATAACATAACACACTTCGCATTTTGTTCCTTGCTTACTTACATGAAATAGATAGTTATAGAAAGTGGTATTGTTCAAATCCATGATGAAGTTATTTGAAGTACGCTATACAGTAGACGTCACGAACTATGAAAATGGCGAAACCTCCATTACCTTCGCAAATCGCAATGGTGTGCGCAACTGGTCGTGGCACGAATGTGTGGGAGAGTACGCGAAGGATCGAGGTTCGTGCGCTTTGATGTCCGTTAAAAACCGACACAGCTTGGAAAACCGCGAATGCAGCCAAAACTTTGCATAATCATTTGCAAATGTCGTCCCACACTTGTGGGTTTGCGTATTCGTGCGAATAAGAGTGACCGGGGTAAGGAAAATTTTTGAAGAAGATTTGTTCAAAATAAGTCTTATAACAATAAGATGGAGCTTAGAAAGATCTGTGTATAACTTTTTAAGACTTCCAATGGTGCCAATGATTATATACTTAATTTACAGTGCCATTCACTATGCTAAAGTGCCAAAGATGTAACATTCCCTAGAAAAATTTTGCATGTGGTAGAGCCATGCTGCAGCTATATTAGTAGTATAGTTGTAGCACGAATGGGTCGGCTCGACCGGGGAAGGACCACGTTCTCACAGAATACCAGCGTAAAATAGCAGCTTAATGCTGCTGTGTTTCGTATGGTGAGTGTAGAGAACCGGAGACCCTTTTTAATGGAAACGAGGAATTTCACCTTAGCCCTTAGGGGTGACAACGCATCTGCATTTTAATTAATTATCGAGAATTGATATAGATGTCTATAGGCCACAGCATCCACTTACTATCAGGTGGACTGTATACTCGTTTAACACCCTATACTATAAAAAAAGTCCCTTAACCGACGAGCGTGTATGCGTAGGTTGGAAGGATGTAAACGAGGCGAGAGAGGTATGTCAGGATCGTGTAAAATGGAAGTTCGTAGTCTCTGCATTCTCTGCCTACCTCTCTGGGCGACAGGCGTGAGTTTATGTATGTTCCCATCATACTTCCATCATTACTTGTACCTATTCTAGTTTCCTCAACTGTCAACATCGTGTATTTTCTACCGACTTCAAAAAGGAGACTCAATTCGACTGTATGTTTTTTTAATATGCGTTACCTCATAACTTTTTACTGGGTGAACCGATTTCGATGATTCTTTTATATTTGAAAGCTGGTGCTTCACATGTGGTCCCATATAAATTTGATCAAGGTCTGACCAATAGTTTTTGAGTTATTTTTAATAATTTATATTGAAGTCGGTTGCGGAATTTTTTTAATTTTAAATTTTAAATTATTATTTTTCTTTTATTTTTTATTGTATGATTTACATACACCTCCCCATATAGCCCATTCGTTTCGAACAATATTTTGCGTAAAATGGATGTCTGGAAGACATCGCATATTTTTTTTCCACGCAAACTTAGTGCACTCGTCTTAACGCTCTATGGTTAAATTTCACAAAATATTAAAAATAATTTTCACCATACAATTATAAAATCGCCCCTAAAACGAAGTGTCGTACAAAGTGTGCCGGAATAAGAAGTTCTGCAGTCTGCAGTCTTATGTATGTTTTAGACACACACTACTCACTACGAAGGCAAAAACAACATAAATTCTACGTTCCATAGACTGCCTGTGGAACATAATTTCGTAAATAAACAAATAACAAATGGGAACTAAAGTGTCTAATTTTGAAAGCTAGCCTAAATTAAAAAAAAAACAACAAGTCACGTCGCTGCATCAACAAATTAGATAAAATTAGGTAAGTAAAACCCGCGTAAGTAAGTACGAAATATTGGCGAGCGTAGATAAGACAAAGAATAATAATATTACCTTATCACTATATGTCATAATGAGGATATTATCGTTAAAAATAGCAAATAACAGTAATAATGTAGAAATAATCTTTAGACATTCAGTAATTCGGTTTAATAGTAAAAATACTCTCTATACGCTCTACGCCCACTGTAGGACAAAGGGCTGAATTAAACCCGTTAGTTCTTATTTGTCAAACTTTGCAAAGCATCTTACTTAATTGGTCTTTTTTATTCTATATGCTTTATTCGCCCCAGTAAGATAAGAACGACGTAACACATCCATTATATTATAATCATCCATTATATATGAAAAAACCTTCTTTACGGAGACAGTCATTTTCTTGAAAACTTTGACATGAACGAATGTTTTTTTTTTATAAAATAAGGGTGACAAACGAACACACAGCCTAATTGATGGTAAGTGGTTCCCATGGCCCGTAGATATCTACATCTACCCTCGATTACGTATCAAAATGCAGATGCGTTGTCACCCGTGAGGACTAAGATGGAATGCCTTATTTCCAGTAAAAAGGGTCTCCGGTTCTCTACATTCACATCATTCATCTGATTTTTTGTTCTGTTAATCTGTGAGAGCGTGATCTTTCCCCGGTCGAGCCGACCCATTCGTGCTACAAACAAAATATATCTGCAGCATGGATCTACCACGTAAAAATGAAAATGTGCACAAATAATAATACTTACCTCAGTAAAATGCCTCTCGATGAACTGATTCGCTTTCTGCTTTAGTTTGACGCAGCCGTGCTGCTCTGAGAAGTTGGCGATGCCGATGGCGTTGGACGGATCCAGTTGTCGCTCAAGGAACGCACAACACGCCTCTATCACGTTCGTGATCTGTGACGTAGAGCTACAATATTATGCCTTTTGCTTTGATATGACGCCGTTTTGATTTGAATCAAATAATTAATAATAATAACCTATATTTATTATTTTTTATTTTATATATATTATTATTTATTATATTAATTTATATTTGTCATTTTGATTTATATATGTATTTATACAGCCCAACCAGATGACAAAACTATATAGTCGTAAGTCGTGACCGGAGACTAGCCATATGATCAGGACAGGATTATAGTGCCTGAATGTATGCTCAAACTAAGGTGTACTTTCTATTCTATCACTCTCATAGTCCTATGGGACGGAAATTGATTGAATTGAACACATTGATTCAGGGCCGGATTAACCATGTCGGGGCCCTTAGACAGTGCAATTCTCGGACCCCCTTTTCCGTCATTTGAAGATCATCAGCTCTTTTCAAGTTGATGAAGGAATAATAGCATCAGCAGCATCCCCGAACTTCTGCTTTACACCTCAGGAACTTACAGCAACATATTTGTATTTGGGCTCATTGAAATGGTCTTAATGCGTAGGTAGATAAGTGATGATCCAGGTCTCATTAGGTATAGTGTGAGATAAGACCGTCTCAAAGTAACATGATGGAGCAGGAAAGAAAAATAAGATGCGGGTGCTTCTATTTTAATTTTATTCTTTTTCAATGCAATAAAATATAATAAACGAAAGAAAAAAGTTTTGACGCGGGTATTTTAATTTTAACTTTATTGTTGTTAAATGCAATAAAAAAAATAATAAAGTAAGAAAAGGTGATTCTTTATACACCGGCCGTGTCAATGTTTCTCAGGAAAACGTCGCCGAGTACCGTAACAAACTTGTGCCTGAAGTCAAGACTTTGTTGTACAAAGTCTCGGATTGGGGCCGACTAAATCTAGGTCAGTTCAATCCCCAGAAGACACAAGTTTGCGCGTTTACCGCTAAAAGAATCCCTTTGTCGTATCTCCTCAGTTTTAGGGCACTCTCCTTGTTGCCTCAGCCAGCGGAATCTTCTGGCAAAGCCTTAGTCGCACCGGCTCTTGCATACCACCTTGTGTCGGACACTTTTTCAGCACTTAACCTTTTTCGAGATGTTTCTACATAATTGCCCAACGATGAGTTGCCGCCGAAAAACATTTTTATAGATTCTGTACTAATCCGAAAAATAAGATTGTTCTATCGCTGCTCTCCGCCGCAAGTATTCCAACCAGTCCAAAAAAATTCAGTGAGTGCGCTGCACATGGAATGTAGTTTGCGAGATTAGTTATTTTCTTAATATGGGCCTGGAAACCAGTGTATATAAATACTCGACCCCCAGACATATTTGACGCATTATCGTAAGTCTGGCCTCTCGCATTTTTTATATCAATGTTACATTGATTTAAAAAATGTAAAATTGTAGCGGCCAGTTCTTCCCAGTAGGTCGGCCAGTATTTCGTCAATTGACAGCATGCGTCGCTAAAACGCAATAATACATACTGTCATTGAGGATTCAAATTTTCTAATAAAATTTCTACTGTATGAAAAATTTTCAATTATTTTTGTGCGCGCGCAGTTTCTTGTATAAATGCTAACTAATAATTGGGTCGTGAAAGCTAACCCGCTTAAAAAAGTTGTTGAAATAGCCTATCCGCTTCGCTAGTCGTAAATTAAACTTTAAGAAAAATTATTATTTATGTATCTTCCACGATAGCTATTCAAGCGTGATTGGACAAATATCAAAACAAGCATACTTTATGTTTTTACTTTTTTTTTAATATCTATTTATGATATTTATAAGACAATAACGACACTATTACTTTGTCGTGCCTCTAGCTGATGTGGGGCCCCTAGGCAGTTGCCTAATCTGCTTAATGGTTAATCTGGCCCAGCATTCATTGAATAGAAACATTAATCTCTACACTTTTCTGATAAAGGAACTTCTCTTATCAAACTCTCATCGATAATCATTAAAACAGAAAAAAAAATTATATTAAGAATGTTCCAAAAGTGACCTTTCAGAAGCTTATAACAAACAGTCCATCTTTACTTTTCTTTCAACTGGTCAAAGGCTCTTGGAGCATCATGTCACTGCTTTATGTGTCAAAACTTACACAGTTAACAAAACTATAAAAAGGTATATTAATAAGAACCTAATACCATACCTTGTCATCATAAAAAATATAAAATAAATTGAATTTAGAGTTGAGGTATTTTATTATGTAATTCCCTATTTATGGAAATGACACATAAAAAGAAATTAATTTTTATGGATTTTATCTCGTTTGATAAAGTACCCATTTTTATATTACCGATATTTTGAATGCTTTACAGCACCCATGTTTATGGTGATGATGAAATCTGTAGAATAATTTTTTTTTGACTTATGAAGTATTTACCGACAAGTTAAAAAAGTAGTACCACTGTGACAGACATGCTTATTGTAATATTTGAACTCGAGGTCTTAAGTCTTAACATATACGCGTACGTCTAGCGAATTAATAACATACTATATTATTAGCGATGGCAGTAAAAAGTACTTTGTCTATCTTTTAAAGAAGACAAGCTAATAGATTACACAAACATTTGAAATTTTTACTTATCGATACATGCTGAAAAGTGGAAATATGTTCTAATGCACTCTCTTTTATCAATACTTTGTATATTTCCATATTTTTAATAAGGGGTTATATATATATATATATATATATATATATATATATATATATATATATATATATATATATATATATATATATTAAAAGATATAAAGTAAAAGAATTATTCCGGAGTAATTTTATATTAAAACTAAGAACTCGACTACAGTTACCTAATTGCTAATGCTACTTCCTACTGCCCTACTACTAAATATTTCTACTAATATTTATATTTATAATAATAATTAATGTGAAAGTTAGTGTGGATGTTTGGATATGTATGTTACTCAATAACGCTAAAACTACTCACTGATTGCTACTTTTATTGGCAATTTTAATCGATTTAGGAAGTTTTCAAATATAACAAGAAGAGAGCCCGACCTAAGAAATTTTTTTTGCGATGGGACTTTATAGGATACAGTCCCTCCTAAGGGTTATAGTTTTTGATTTCGAAATAGAACTGTAAGGGTGAATATGCCAACCTCAGTTGCACGCGTCACATGAAGAACTACTTTATGTTTTGTAATTTTTAATTCTTCCTATAGCTTTAGAAATTAATTTAAAAAATGCTAGACCACCGATACTGCGATTGTGCGGAAATGGCAGAAACTCATACAACACATTGAACTGCTTACGGACTGATAAATTTTTTTAATATCGGTTAAATACGGTTCTTATATTGGTTTTCATACGAGGTAGAGAAATGATGCAGCTATATTATGGTTGGAACACGAATTAATTGACTCCACCGGGAACGACCACATCATCATCATCATCATCATTACAGCCCTTCACAAGTCCACTGCTGAACATAGGCCTCCCCCAAAGAATGCCACAAAGCACGGTACTGAGCCACCTGCATCCATCGACTTCCTGCATATCTTACCAGGTCGTCACTCCATCTAGTGGGGAGGCGCCCTACACTTCGCCTGCCGGTACGAGGCTGCCACTCAAGAACCTTTCTTCCCCATCGGTTGTCGGTTCTTAGAGCTATATGGCCGGCCCATTGCCACTTCAGCTTACTAATCCGTTAGGCTATGTCGGTCACTCTAGTTCTACTGCGGATATCCTCATTTCTGAGTTTATCTCGCAGAGAAACTCCGAGCATAGCCCTCTCCATAGCTCGCTGAGCGACCTTGACCTTCCTCATCCGGCCAGCAGTGAAGGACCACGTCTCAGTTCCGTATGTCATCACTGGCAACACGCACTGGGTGTACAGTCTCGTTTTCAAGGTTTGAGGTATACCTGACGAGAAGATGTGTTGTAGCTTCCCGAACGCTGCCCAGCCGAGTTGAATCCGTCGATTGACCTCTCGGTCGAAGTTGGACTTACCTAGTCGGACTATTTGTCCCAGGTAAACATACTCGTCAACAACTTCGAGCTTAGTGTTCCCAACAACTACCGGCATAGGTGTGACATGGACATTAAACATGATCTTTGTTTTGTCCATGTTCATCTTAAGACATATCCGTTGGGAAACACTATTAAGGTCATTGAGCATAGTGCTTAGGTCCTCCAGCGATTCTGCCATAATGACTATATCGTCGGCAAATCGAAGGTGAGTGATGTACTCGCCATTGATGTTGATACCGTATCCTTTCCAGTCCAGAAGCTTGAAAACATCTTCCAATGCAGCGGTAAAGAGTTTCGGGGATATGACGTCACCCTGTCTTACACCTCTCTGCAATTGGATAGGTTTCGTACTCTGGTTCTGTACTCGGATAGCCATCGTAGCCCTACTGTACAAGCACTTCAACACTTCGATATACCGACAGTCAACTTGGCATCGCTGAAGGGACTGCAGCACCGCCCAAATTTACCGACGGAATCAAAGGCTTTCTCATAGTCCACATACGCCAGACATAGTGGCAAATTGTACTCCTCGGACTTCTGTACAATTTGCCGAAGGGTATGTATGTGGTCTATGGTGCTAAAGCCTTTTCGGAAACCGGCTTGTTCGGGAGGCTGGAAGTCGTCAAGTCTGCGCGCGAGACGATTCGTAATGACTCTCGAAAACAGCACGTAGACGCGTCTCAGAAGGGAAATCGGTCTGTAGTTCTTCAAGAGAGCGTTGTCGCCTTTCTTGAAGAACAAGACCACCGCACTTCTGCTCCACGCCTCCGGTGTAATGCCACCATGGAGGAAGTAATTAAAGAGCTTCTGAAGGACTTCAAGTACCGGTTTTCCACCCGCTTTCAGAAGTTCAGCTGTAATTCCATCCTCGCCTGGGGCCCTGCCGTTTTTAAGGTGCTGGAGAGCCATTCTAATCTCGCTCAGACTGACGTCCGGGATATCATCGGAATAATGTCGGATAAGACTCGCTCTTGGATCGTTACTCACACTTGCGTGCGGCTCCAACGATGTCGTGTACAGCTGCCCATAGAACCTCTCAATCTCACTCAAAATCTCAGGTGCTCCGGAAACGATGCTGCCACATTCTGTCTTCAGCTTTGACAGTTGGCGCTTTCTGGCAGACAGATCTCTGGCAAAGACTTTGGAGCCTTGGTTCCGCTCGATCGCTTCTTCAATACGAGCTGTATTGAAGTTGCGTAAGTCCCGCCGCATGGATTTGGAGATCTGTCTGTTCAGTTGCCTGTATGCTGTCAAATCTGTTGAAGAATGTAGCTTCATCTCCCGTCTAACAGCCATGAGATTAAGAGTGTGATCGGAGAGTTTTTGTGTTCTTCTGCGGCGGGTCTTGCAGAACTTAGCTCCGACCGCATGGACAGTTTCCACGAGCTTGTCATTCAAATCGTCCACTTCATTGCAGTCTTCTAGGCACTGAAAACGGTTTTGTAACTCGAGCTGAAAGGTTTCGGGACTTTGGATTAGAGCACGAGGGGGACGGAGCGTTGACTTCATTAGACGAGACCTCTCCAACTTAACGTTTAGGTTCAGTGTGCCTCTAACCATTCGGTGATCGCTGCCGGTTTTCACCCTCGCGATCACTGAGACATCACTGAACAGTTGTCGTCTGGTCGTCATAATGAAGTCAATCTCATTTTTTGTCGAACCGTCGGGGCTCAACCAGGTCCACTTCCTGTGGGGCCGCTTCCGGAAGAAAGAGTTCATCATAAAGAGTCCCTCTTTCTCCATGAAGTCAGCCAACTGCTGGCTTGGGTTCCGTTGCCCTATTCCAAATTTCCCTACTTTCAGCTCACCGTTCTCTCTTGTGCCTAGTTTTGCATTGAAGTCTCCCATTAACACCGTATATTGGGTTTTGGAGGAATGCATGGCTCTAGAGATATCCTCATACATTTCCTCCACCTCCTGATCGGGGTGTGCCGAGGTTGGTGCGTAAACCTGTATGACCTTCAGCGAATACCGTTTGGTGATTCTGAGTATAAGGTACGCAACCCTCGTCGACACACTCTCAATCTTTACAACGTTGTTAACGAGAGACTTGTGGACGATAAATCCGACACCTCCTTGGGACAGATGGTCGCCCTCCCGGTAATAGAGCAAGTTGCCGGATTCGAGGATTACCGTGTCTTCCACCTCTCTTCGGACTTCGGATAATCCTATAATATGCCAGCGTAACTTGTCTATCTCTTCTTCCAGCTCCACAATCTTCTCGTCAGTCCTCAGGGTGCGTGCGTTGTATGTTGCCAGGTCGAGTCGTCGTAGGTGGCAACCGAACCTCCACCGGAGATTCTTAGCACCCCCTGCCCCGCCGTTACCATGCTCGCCACCGTAGCCAGGAATAGCGGGGCCGCCGGGGACTGGGGGCCGTTTATTATTGCTCATGGGGGGTATATTGCCATAGTTGCCACGCTTGGCGAGCGGGTTGGCAACCGCAGTTTTTTTTTTATTGTTATTTTGGCTATTATCAGGAAGATGCTGCTGCCCATCTCCTGGCTGTTTCCCTTTGTCGCCTTTTACGACACCCACGGGAAGATATGGGGTAGTGGATATTCTTAACCGCCACTACACGGCTTACTTTCACAGAATACCAGCGCAAAGTAGCAGTTTAATACTGCTGTGTTACGTATGGTAAGTATAGAGAACCGGAGATCGGGATTAACCTAGGATAAATGTAGATGTCTATGAGACACATCATGCACTTACCATCAGGTGGACTGTGTGTTTGTGTATCACCCTAATTTAAAAACAATCCAAAATTTCTTTTTAATTAAATTTTATTAATTAATGTGACAAAATACATATGCTTTATTATACCTTTCGTTTCGTAACAAGTTGAAATACACACCTGGAACATAGTGGCAGCGGGCAACAGCTGGCAAACTGTGACCTCTGTGATACGGACCTTGCCCGTGTACATGAAGTACACCAGCCACGCCATTGCGGATGGGCACACTCCTTGCAGGCGTACTCTGGACATTTCGCTCTCCTTCAGCCCGCTTGTGAACATTGCCTAGACGTGAAATTATTTTATTTAAGTTGTATTACAGAAGAATAAAAAGAAAACTCCCTAAATGGAAAAGTATCCCATCCCGGAAATATACAAAATGTGGCGGCATCTGATAAGGACATTTAAGCACTTAAATTAAATGTTAGTTATTCACTATAGATATAATACTTATGGAAAGACAATTGTATTTTATGAGTAAAACTTTTGTACTGGGAAAAAGAAACCCCGCGGAATTTTTTTAAAGTCCAATAGTATTTCATGGAAGTAAGGATGACAAATGAGTACACCTTATTTCACGTGATGGTAAGTAGAAACTGTAGCTCATAGACACCTACATCTATCCTCGATTGATAATCGAGACTTAGATAACTTGTCACTCCTAGGGACCAACATGAAATGCTTCGTTAATAGTTACCAGTAATAATTTAAAATTAAACATTTTGTACAGCCGACTTCAGTATAAGTTATTAAAATAAACTCAAAAACTATTAGTGTGACCTTGATCAAATTCATATGGGACCACACGAGAAGTACCAGCTTTCAAATAAAAAAAGAATCATCGAAATCAGTTCACCCAGTAAAAAGTTATGAGGTACCACACATAAAAAAACATACAGTCGAATTGAGTACCGTCTGCTTTTTGGAAGTCGGCAGAAAAGGGGTTTACGATAAGAAAGTAAATTAAATTTATATTCTTCTTTCTGTTTTGGTAGTCGTTCATCGTATTCATGTTTCCTCACAATAATCCTTTTTATAGTACTTTTTGAACATAATTTCTAAACTTGGTAATAAATAGACCTTATATATTTTCTGGGTGTTTTCTGGCGTAATTGCCTCATTAATGAATTACTGGCTCAGCATGACTTACTGTCTATATAATACTTGATATGTGCATTCGTATTTTTGTTAAAGTTAAAAAGGTTTCAGTAGTAGAGATAACAGCGTCAATTCCATTCCAGAGGTCACATGTTTTTCTAAGGCACTAAAAGTGCGATTATGAATTCACGAAAACACAACTTAAAACCTATACATTGCCGCTTGAGATTGAGAGACACACACACACACACACACACACACACACACACACACACACACACACACACACACACACACACACACACACAGACACACACACACACACACACACACACACACACACACACACACACACACACACACACACAGAGAGAGAGAGAGAGAGAGAGAGAGAGAGAGAGAGAGAGAGAGAGAGAGAGATACACACACACACACACAGAGAGAGAGAGAGAGAGAGAGAGAGAGAGAGAGAAACACACACACACACAGACACACACACTCACACTCACTCACACTCACACTCACACTCACTCTCACACTCACACACACACTCACACTCACACTCACACTCACACTCACACTCACACTTTGCTTAATGATACGAGGCTGGCTACTCGAGAATATCAAATAAGAATTATTTAATGTAAATTGAAAGGCTATATTTTTTCACTTTAATAATTATTTTAACTACTTACAAATGTACCTACACTACATATTTCCATGTAACACTACACCAATGACAATAATTTAAAATTAGTTTACTCTTTGAAATTAATTAACAAAATAATTGTTAAGATACTATCATATTATAAAAGTAATAACAAAGTACAAAGTAGTTAAATAAAGGGAATGTAATCATTAATAATTGGCAAAACAGTTTTGAGACTCATTTATTATAATAATTTACAGTCTATAAAATATAAAATACAACTCGGACATCAGACAGTGTCTATTATGTCGTTTATACTGTTGTTTATTTTAAATCATAACTTGGTGCTACGAATGTAATATGTTGTATATCAAATAATTTACAGAGGACCTAAGTAGTGAATTGAGCCAAACAATGAATAAATTATTTTTTGTATAATCGCAACTAGCGGTACAAAATTTGTTAATACAATTAAATATAACTAAATCTTAATTTCTTAAATTTTTAATTTGTTTTAATTGTTTTTGTAAGAATGAATAACGCAGTAGCAATATGTATATTATCGAAATAAAAATGGAATACACTTTAAGCATAACATTGTTTATATGAGTACTAATCTAATCCTAATGAGGCAGAAACAGTCCACACGTGCCTCTTTCATAGAATGACTATATTATATTGAACGTATGAACGTATATGCATTGGAATTTGTTTGTTTGGTATTTTGCACAAAAGTGCTCGGGTATACAAAAAAACCGACCTTAAAGTAGGGGCTTCCCGCAGCGAGGACAACTTTGTGAACGTGAAAGAGCTCATTTCCAACTTCCAGTACTACATCTGTCAGCATGTGATGGGACCTCATCGTGAACAGCATCTGTTGACAAATACTTCTTCAATAGCTTTTTTAATTTCACGATAGGGTAATGAGACACAAGAAAACACCAGCTGGTAAACATTACAATAGAATAAAAAAAATTCAAAGATCATTACATAATGTGGAGAACAAGAAGCATAGTGGTATTTATTTAAATATAAACGTTAACATTATTGTACGATAAATTTGACCTTCACACACACACAAGCACGCACGAACGAACGCACGCACGCACGCACGAACGCACGCACGCACGAACGCACGCACGCACGAACGCACGCACGCACGCACGCACGCACATACGTACGAACGCACGCACGCACGCACGCACGCACGCACGCACGCACGCACGCACGCACGCATGCATCCACGCACGCACGCACGCACGCACGCACGCACGTACGAACGCACGCACGCACGCACGCACGCACGAACGAACGCACGCACGCATGCAAACACGCACGCGGTATGAAACAGATAGCATTTTTAAATACCTACTTCCGCCGCGTATCGGCACTTCACAATCCTAAAACATAATTGTTAAGTGTAAACACAACCATTTATAATCAGACTGTTTATAACATTATAATGACATGCATTTATTTATTGTTGTCAGTGAACAGATAACATCACCAAGAATTATTAGTCGCTAATAAGCTTGAGACATTACTTAAAGAATAGACACTTTTTATAGAGGTATGTGGGTCACAGGGATTCATGAAAAACATACATAGTGGAAAAGATTTATTATATAAGTTAATCAGTTGTGCACAATATAAATCTAAAATAAAAGTTTCACTTTAATGAGGGCTAGTAATCTTCCACACACCAGATGTCGCTAGTTGCGACTGAGGTAAAATTTTCTGATACACAATGTCAGTTAATTGAGAAATTAGATTTAGTTTCTTGAGTGTTATATTAATACATAACACAATTGCGTCTGTGATTTGATCTTTAATTTTTTGTACTTTATACCTCTTTTTGTACTTTTAGTCTATTATTTTAGTATATTTCTAGTTTGGTTTATTTATTTTTAATCTAATTAATATAAAATATAATTAGTAATACAGAAAGAACCATTAATCTTTACTTTTTTCTAAGAAATTATCTTCCCCGCTATGAAATCTGTCAAATGATTTACCTCATTGTAAAGTGGCGCCGTCCTGGTGGCAGAAAAAGTCGTGGATGCAACATCATTGAGACACGCAGATTTAAAGAGTGAATCAATTAATAATAGGATAAAATAATTCACAAAATCATTAATATACGTATATTCTGTTGGAGAAGTGTGACAACTGGCAATTTAATATTTTATTCAAATGGACATTCATTTTTAAGCTTCCTCTGTCTGTACGTCCGTCCGTCTGTCTGTCAGCGGGCTGTATCTCATGATCCGTATAAAGAGTTAAAATTTTCTTAAATGTGTATTTTTGTTGTCGCTATAACAACAAATAATAAAAATAAACATAAAAATTAAAGGGGGCTTCCCTACTGGAAACGTGTATTACGATGGTACGGAACCCTTCATGCGCGAGTCCGACTCGCACTTGGCCGGTTTTTGTTATTAACAAAACCGTAGATTTGTGTTCGTATTTCGATTTGTCAGTTTGCTCCTCGTTTTAGTTATGGAATTTGGTTTCAATTATTCGGTCATAACACAAATTTCACGTTTTCGTATTTGACACACCTACCTCTATTATAATCTAGTATATATGCGGCGGTCAGTGATTTGACAATTCTTCACTTGTTCGAGATAAAGCAACATCATTTCACGCTTTACACAGAGCGAACACTAAACTTTTACATATTTTTTTTGTTATTTATTTTAATTTATATTAATTTTTATACCATTTTAGAAAATAGAAAGTTTAAAAGATCAATTTCCGTCGAAGAGCAACGATTTTTTTTAAATTATTTGAGTTGTAGTTGCGAAGTGACTCCAGACTTACTAAGATGGAAGAGTGCAAACAGAAGACCGATACCAATTTCGAGATTGGAAGCCATCGATAAAATAAGAAAGCATTAAGTGAGAAACGCACCTGGTCTTGAGCATCCGAAGCAACATGTTGATCAAACTCATAAGATTTGTGGTTGTTCAGAAGTTAGGTTTGCGTTTTCCACACAATCTGAATAATTATCAAATAAAGTTTGAGCAAATTGAGGGCTCCGTGGCACAGTGGCTTAGCAATCAGTTGTTGCGCTGGGGGCCGCGGGTTCGAATCCCGCACGGAACAAGTATTTGTATGGCCTACAAATAATTGTTCCGGGTCTGGATGTTTGTCCTTGTGCAATTTATGTTTGTAAACTGCCTCCACGACACAGGAGAAAATCCTAGTGTGGGATGAAACTTAGATGCATTTGTTTCTCAAACCCGATCTTACCCAATCGTGGGAAAAATTATAATTGCATAAAATGGACGATGGTATAGTGACACATTTAAAATATATAATCGTTATGATTGAATGCAACTCTGGCTTATCTTCATTCTTTGTTAATATTTGAGAGTCTTTGAGACTTTTTCATCGCACATGGCTAACTACAAAAAGGAAATATTGATAAAAACTCTTAGTTCTAATAGTGATAGTATGCTATAGAAAGTTATATACACTTTATTGGAAAGGATTAAACGAATCTCCGCAAATCAAATGTATTCTTCAAGTCGCCATTTATACCTTTTATGGAACTGTTTAACGAAGATCATTTGTCTACGTTACGCTACAAAGATCTGGTTTTGAAAATGTTTGCGAGAAATGCGGCGACAAAAAAATTATACGGTTGCCTTGTTCTGGGACGTCACTACTGCTGTATTAATGATAGCATCATAATGCTGCTGTGTTTAGTATGGTGAACTAAACAACCGGAGAACTTTTTACCGTTAACGAGTCATTCACCTTAATCTTTAGGGGTTACACCGCATCTGCATATAGACCACAGAATCTATTTACCATCAGATGGACTGTGTGCTGGTTTGTAACGCTTACTTGTATAAAATAGGTCGTTGCTCTATCCGGCCAGGCGCCCCACGTTGTTGTCTTAGCACAGTCTGCACTACCAAACAATTAGTTAAAATGTTTCGCCGTTGATGCATGCATACCCAAGCAAAAACTGTTTCTCAATTTCAACTACGTATGAATACTAAAAAAACAATTTTTTCTCAGTTATTGTCTTATGCGAATTTTGTTTTCAAAACTTAAACATGCTTACTTTTAAATTCTAATACTCGCGAGTAGAAATTTAAGTAACAGGTGTTGTATTTTGTCATGCAATTTAGTGTGTGTAGAAAACCTTGAAATATCATTCTATGTCTAAATCATAATATAATAAACCAGCGTAAAATAGCAGCTTAATACAGCTATGTTTCGTGTGGTGAGTGTAGAGAACCGGAGACCTTTTTTTATTGGCAACGAGGCATTCTTTCTTAGGCCTCAGGGGTGATAACTCATCTACATTTTGATTCTTAATGGGGGATAGCTGTAGATGTCTAAAGGCCACAGCATTCATTTACCATCAGGTGGACTGTGTGATCGTTTGTCACCCTTATTCTAAAAAAAAAACTATATTATTAGGACAAAACCAATTGTATAGTCAAAAATAAAATTTAATGAGAACGTAGCACATTCCCACTGAAGCAGACTCATTCGTGTTACGCTTGGATCAAATACAATGGAGCGTTATAGTGGTTGCCCATATTTACGGCACTGAATTGAGTAATCAGGTAAAAATATTTGTCGAAAGAGTAGAGAGTTGTCAAAATAAACATTTCTATAGAAAGTATATGAGAATTGATATATTAATATAAAAGTGGGGCCTTTGTACCGTTTTTTAAGCATACGCGCCGGAGGAGTTTAGAATTAGGCATAGCTAAAGTTTACATGGAGAAGGAGTGTAGGAAGCTATAATATAATTCATTTACATGTTATATGTGTTAGAAACAAGTATATTAACTTTAATAAAATGAAACGTTCATTCTGTCAACGTCAAACAAATAATAGTCTGTGGTCAAACAGACATTGTGTGTAGAAATTGTTAGCAAGGAATTGTAAAAAATGTTGTCAACAAATAATTACTATATCTATATAAATAAATAAAATTGAAGTGTCTGTTTGTAATGTCAAAATTACAGCTTTTTACTAAATGCAGATGAAAGTATATAGGATAATAATAAGAAAAATACAATTTTTAAGGTTTTGTCTGTCTGTCCGTCAGTCTGTCTGTTTGTTCCGGCTAATCTCCGCAACGACTGGACCGATTTTGACGAGATTTTCACTGGCAGATAGCTGATGTCACAAGGAGTAACTTAGGCTACTTTTATTTTAGGAAAATAATTAGGGTTCCGCGCAAAAAAATTAGAACCCGAAATAACACGCGGGCGAAGTCGCGGGGAACAGCTAGAACTTTTTAATTTTGTGTGATTTCAAATGTTCTTTTTTCAATAGTCTGTGCAGTATAGGTCATGGCAAAAAAGCTTATATTTTGTTTATGAGATGCGTGTTTTAATGTGCAGTTGAAAGTGTAACACAGCGATTGAATTTAGGCCACTAGGCAACGACTAGCATATTGTTAACGTCCTACGTCAAATCTTGTGTGTATTTTTAAATAAATAAACATAATTTACATAACTTAAAATAGAAAATTGACCAAGCTTTGAGACATAACTAAAAGTAGCAAATTTAAATAATATGATAGTAATTTATTAATAGTGGTGACAGCTACCTCATTTTTATTAAAGTAAAATAAGGTTATTGAATTTCATTGTTTGTACAAATGAGAGCTAAAATTTTAATTATATTTACGACTTGAAACTATACATCACAACGGTCAAACGATCGCGTTTTTAAAATGCAATTCACTCCGTTACATTTGTAAGTCAATGTACATGAATCATCGATTTTCAAGTTTAATCACAACGCCCTTGTGCATTACTAACCTATTTTGCTCTACTCGGAGTATAAGTTCGTGTAGGTACTGCTAACTACACTATTAAATTAATTATACTCGGCATTACCGTACGAATTACAGCGCGGATTTTTTCCAGACACAATGTTCTTAAAAAACAAACGATGGCATGCCTTTTCCACCGACTTCAAAAAGGAGCCGGTACACAATTCGATAGTATATTTTTTATGTGTGTTACCTCATAACTTTTTACTGGATGAACCGATTTCGATGATTCCTTTTTTATTTGAAAGCTGGTGATTTACCTGTGGTTCTATATAAATTGATCAAGGCACTGACCAATAGTTTATGAGTTATTCTAAATAATTTATATTGAAGTCGGTTGTGCAAAATGTTTAATTTAAAATTATTGAGATATTGCTGTAATGTACAGATTCAGCGTGCAGTGGCGGCATAAGAGAATCCAACACCCCATGTCATCCCGTTGGTTTTGTTTCTTACGACTAGAGGAAGACTTAAACAGGGGATGAGCAGCAGCACCTTCCCGATAACAACTTCAAATAATAATAATTAAAAATTTTGTACAGCCCACTTCAATATAAGTTATTAAGAATAACTCAAAAACTATTCGCTTGACCTTGATGAAATTCATATGGGACCACACGAAAAGTACCAGCTTTCAAATAAAAAAAGAAATATCGAAATCGGTTCACCCAGTAAAAAGTTATGAGGTAACACACATAAAAAAACATACAGTCGAATTGAGTACGTCTCCTTTTTGGAAGTCGGCAGAAAAAACTGCGGTTGGCGACCAGCCTGCCAAGCGTGGCAACTTGGTAAATATCACGCCTCACCCCAGCAGCGGACGGTGATAGGTTGTAATGATGATAATGATGATAATTATACAAATTGCGTTTGAATTGTTTTAAAAATATTTTGTAAGTTTGTTATTGAGATATCATTTTTGCTTTTAACACGTAAATGTCAGATTTAAAAATTCATATTGAAAAAACATGCGTAAGTGTCATGGAACACTCGGTTGGAACAAAGTTCCTTTCGTAGTATATTATTATTGATAAACGTATTATATTATTGATTAACAAATACAAATAAATGAAATTACTAGCGTCTATTAACATGAAGCGTCATTTGAAATAATATTTCTTTCATGGCAAGATAAGGAAAAGCGCGAGGAAGACGGATATTATTCTATCTCGTTCGCACTATAGAAAGGAGGTCGTGACGGAAAAATCTTACACTTTTTCTCGCATTATTCCCCATCCGTCTAATTCGTACCGTGCGATAAGGAACTTCGTTCCAATACTATTAAATTTAATTAATGTAAGGCATAAGTATAGATGTAGATGTCTATTTTTGTTAATTAGCTAAAAAGTGACTACTATTAATAACCCAATATTAAATTAACTATATAAAATTGTAGCGTTGTATTGACGTGTGTAACACGATAACCGGGTGTTACTTTGCGAAAATCCATTATATTAAATTGCGAAAATCCATTATCTATACAAATAAATAAAATTGAAGTGTCTGTTTGTAATGTCAAAATTACAGTTTTTTTCTAAATGCATATGAAAGTAAATACGGTACCTATATAACTAAAATACAATTTTTAAAATTTTTGTCTGTCTGTCTGTCTGTCTGTCTGTCTGTCTGTTTGTTCCGGGTAATCTCCGAAACGGCTGGACCGATTTTGACGGGACTTTCACTGGCAGATAGCTGATTTCATAAGGAGTAACTTAGGCTACTTTTATTTTAGAAAAAGAATTAGGGTTCCGCGCAAAACATAAAAACCCTAACACGCGAACGAAGTCGCGGGGAACAGCTAGTATTAAATATGTTAGAAATGAATTAACTAAGATCCGGATATATTGTTTTATTTTATTACGTAACGGTAGTTAAAGTAGATACCAGCTCGACGAATTCTATCACGCAGAGAAACCCCGAGCATGGTCCTTTCCATAGCGCTGAGCAATTTCTCATAATAAGACACATTAACTTATTATGCATGTATTAAAAGTAACACCTTAAACAACATCTAAAAGTATTTTAGGACGGAGAAGTTAAAATATAAAGCATAGCTTCATGACGACCGACGTCACTACAATAACAAAAATTCGCCTCGTCACGCCGTCTTGCGATTTTCAAACGCGTCATATGAAATGATAAGTTTTACCGTATCCAGTTTCATATCTTTTTTAACATCCTTGAGGTTAATAAGGTGAATATGGAAAGCATTATTATTCTCTCATAATCACCTTAAGTTAGAAGTCTACCAGTTGTTATGGGCCCATAGCAAACCCTTTTGTATATTAATTGATTATTTTACACAATGCGTTTTATATACGTGGTAGAGCCATTCTGCAGCTATATTATGGTTCGGATATTAGAATGGGTCGGATCGACCGGGATCACGCTCTCACAGAATCCCAGCGCATAATAGCAGCTTAATGCTGCTGTGTTTCGCTGTTTCGTATGATGAGTGTAGAAAACCGGAGACTCTTATTGTAAAAGTGGTATTCCATCTTAATTCTCAGGGGTGACAACTTATCTGCATTTTAATTCTGTTTTTTATTGAATATAAAAGTAAATGTCTATGGGCCACAGCATCCACTTACCATCAGGTGGACTGTAAGCTCGTTTGTCGCCTTTAAATTTCTATAAAAAAAATTATGGCGACTGCGCCCTTATTCGTACTCGTGAGTTACAAAAGATTTAACTTACATCCATAAGCAAAAACTTGTTACATTAGTTCTTGTTTACATTAGTTATTTGCTATCTAATCACCTCAACAATGATAATGTTGTACAGTGTTATAAAAAAAAAATTGTAGCTTCAAGATCTAATGGTTCGATGAACTTTGGTATTAAAAGCAATTCATGGAAAAAGATAAATGATAATCTATGAATACTAATAGACATTATAAAATATTAGACGAGTTTTTGTTTAGTAAAGAGCATACTTTCAGTTTGTGCTCATTTCATTCATATGAGAGTAGCATTCAAAAAGCTAAGAAGTAATACATAAATTACGATTTTTTTGGAAAATCAGCAATAATTACGTAAAATAAAAAAAGAAACCCATAAAAAACAGTTTGATATTTCATACTGATCTACAAATATTGTAGTTTGTTTATAATTTTTTTTTTTTTGCTTCAACATCTGTCCCACTTTGTTAATATTCATGGCTCTTGGTTCGTCCTTATTCATTCCACTATCACTATGTTATCGTAAATGATAGCAGCGGGCTTGCAATCACCAATAAAGTCAATTTGTTATGTGTGTGCAAGTGTAAATTTTTTGGGAATGAAATGCAAAATGATTTCTTATATTTACGCGAACATTACACATTTAAATAAAACTAATTTTACGGATTTTATCGCGTATATTAACTTATTTTATATTCCCGACGTTAGCACTTTACAGCACCCACGGTGCTATAAAAAGTTTATTTCAATCAAATACAAGTATATTGGCTTATTTCGCTGTTCTAAGTTAGAATTGACACAAGTAAGATAATTATTGATTATTGAGAACTTATTCTGAATTACACATATTCATAGTATGCGTAAATTGTATCTGCTGCCATTCGTATTTGGTACAATTCCGTTATTTTGTTAACCTTAACTAATATACGAATTCGTTCAATGGCATAATAACCTATCTTTCTATATTGTGTCTCTTAAATTATAACCACAGTAAAAGATAACGCATTTATTTCCTCAAGATTTTTTATGTTTAACTAGCTATTCCCCGCGACTTCACCCGCTTGTTATTTGGGGTTTTATTTTTTGCGCGGAACCCTAATTGTTTTTCTAAAATAAAAGTAGCCTAAGTTACTCATTGTAACATCAGCTACCTGTCAGTGAAAATCCCGTCAAAATCGCTCCAACCGTTTCGGAGATTAGTCGGAACAAACAGACAGACAGACAAAAACTTTAAAAATTATATTTTTGTTATTAGTACCGTATATACTTCCATATGCATTTAGTAAAAAGCTGTAATATTGACATTACAAACAGCCGTCAAACAAATAAATGATTAATATTTTGGTATATTACTTGTGGTGGATATTAATGTCATGAAATGCATTCTTTACATAGGTTTTGGATTTTGCCATTAGTTGTGATATTTGGCAAGCGGGTTGGCAACCTCAGTTACACTTCAGATCGAAACACTGCTAACTGGCGGCAGAAATAGGTGACAGTGGTACCTTCCGAAACTGACTTCTGGACGAAAAAGGGAGTCCCATCACCTAGCAACGTATTTATCTTTACGGGTTCTTATGTTCTTAAGTGTAACAATAACAAACCCTTATATTACAGTTTATAAATTTTAGCTACTTCAAAATATTTTACGGTACACTATTCGTTATTAATGAAGAAGCTTACGTACTGAACGGGCAGACAAAACAAGAAAGAAGAAGAAAGAAAATAACACAGATTAATTTCAAGTAAAACTAAACGTAAAGTTAGTCTGTAATACGTCTCTCCTCTAATTTCTGAGGAAGCGTTACTTGTCCGAAACAGCTGCTTAGTAGTAGTTAATTTTAACTAAGTAACATTATATTAAAAAGAAAATCCTGCCTTCATAAAGTCCGGAACATAGTTGCTCAAACAAAATGTCATGTCGCCAATGTCGTTGTGTCCTGCAGTGACGTTGTCATCTAGCGTGGTGTCACAGTTAATGGGTGGCATGTCGTCCAGCAGGTTGCCCCGGTCCACCTCCTCGTCAGTCTCCATATTGTTTCCTGTAACATATGCACAAGTTGTGACTTTATAATTTAAATAGTGTGTGTAAAGCCACACTGCAACTCTCGCTCTCACAAGAATACAAGCGTAATAAAAAATCAGCTTAATGTTACTGTGTTTCGCATGCTGAGTGTAGAGAACCGGAGACCCTTGTCATTAGAAACAAGACATACCATATTAGTTCTCAGGGGTGATAATGCATCAACATTTTGATCCTTAATCGAGGATAGATGTAGATGTCTATACGTAAAAGTAAACACTGCTTCTCTGTAGACTTCGCTAGACGTCAGAAAGGAAATCATTGTTTCAAGGATGATACCTACCTAGATAAATTTGGAAAGCAAAACATTAACAAAATAGAATTTTTTTTATTATTACTAGGTAAATACCCACAGAACTTGAAAATCACGACTACAATTAGAAAACTATCTTATTATTTTATGCAAATTGCCAAGCTTTTAAAGGCACATAACTTAATACCTATTATAACTTACTAATTATTATAACTTACTAAAACTAACTCTTTGTAACAAACATTTTGCCTGTTCTTTACCTTGTAATTCTATTATATTGGGATCAGAAAAATTTTGTAGAGAACCGAAGAACCTTTTTACTGGAAAAGAGGCATTCTATCTTAGTCCTCACGGGTGAGACAACGCATCTGCATTTTGATTTGCAAACGAGGATAAATGTAGATGTCTATGGGCCATAGCAACCACTTACCATCAGATTGACTGTGTGCTCGTTTTTCACCCTATCCTATAAAAAAAAAGTCTTCTTTTGATCATGGGGTCACAGGGGGCATCATAAAATATGATCTCATTCATGTGTAGTATTCACCATAAAGATAAGGTATATGTACTAGTACTTTAGGTCTCATTTACTGTTTCTTGTTCATTCAAACGGTCTGTAAATGTTCTTTGCTAAAAAAATTATTTAAAGAAAAATATCGGGTTAACCCGTAAAATTTTACAGACACGAAAATTATTTTTAGAGTACGCTTTTTATATAAGTCAGTTTTGATCTCCACTTTAATCTTAAAACTGTAGTCGAGTTTGACTTGGCCATTGCAACGTTTTTTAAGATAAAATGCCATATCATTATTACCACAGAGCGGCATTAACTACGTGAGTACTGTACGACGTTTCAATGGAACTAATTTGCTATGAATATTACAATAGCTGAGCATCACTTTCAACGTCGTGCTGACTAAACTCAAATCCTTTTAATTTGCGATTCTGACGCTGAACTTTTGTCAGAAGAAAGACCTCGTCAGTGACATTGTGTAATGTAGGAAAGTTGTTGAATGAATAGGACACGTGTTGCTCAGTTCATGACTTTAATTATACTTCTTAAAGTTATTATAACTTAATACTAATATATACTCTGTTGTGGGGGATAGACTACACTAAACTCACTCCGACAAAAAAAAATTAAAAGAAACAAATACATTGGTTTTTTTTCTTATAAAAATAAATATAAAAGTTACGTCTATTATGAATGTAAATTACAAAAATAAAATAGGTGTAGGGAATCTGTAATTTGGCATAGTTACAGATATTAATCCTGCCTCGAAAACTGTGATTAAATTCTTAAAAAACATTTTTATTTTGGATACTTCCCAAACAAGTAAATGAAGGAGGATTTTTTTATCCGTCTATTACACCGTTGGACAGGTCTTTCAAAAACACTGGGGGGTGTGGAACAACATATTTTCGATTCAGTGGTCCATTTGCGAAATATTTAGCTTTAAAGTGGTATTTTTCATTAGGGTCATGTACCCCCCCCCCCCCCCTCTACCAACTAAACCGTTGTATATGGAAATGTGTAAAGTAAAAACTAACACAGCTAAGTAAAGTTAAGAAGTTAATGAGTAATAGTCGACCAATTTATAAAATGCACTTGGATTAGTAAAAATTCCGTTACAACTCCATTGAAAATGACCTAAACCAGCTGCATTATAACTTTGTAATGTTATTGTAAACTGTTAAAAATAAACACTTTATCAAGACTACTTATATGCATTACTACTATTAGCTTTACTTTTTCATTTGCGAGATAGATAGGGTATTATTATCAAAATCGAAGTTATTTTTTTTTTTAATAACACTCCCTTCTGATTTGAAAATAAGTCCTTCAGCTTCAGTTTACAATCTTCCTATATGGGCCTATTTTAAGTCGTTACAGCGGTCAAACCGCGAACTTGCTTATTATGCTCATTATCAAGAATACCCACCTATTGTGACGCGCAACTACGGAACCCTACATTGTGCGTGACCCGACACGCACTTGGTTTGTTTTATTTTTTATTTTACTAGACTAAAAAAAGACTAAGCTAGACTTATTTGTTTGTACTTATTGGCTTTTTACGCTCGTCTCGTTTTTTTTTTAAATATTTAAAACTATCATGCAACAGTAATCCACAATATATTATAATTAACAAGGTCAAATGCACGATTCAAGTCCAGAAAACAGTTGTAAACTATTACAAAAGACGTAAGTACGTCTGTTTACGCCTGTTTTCCGAACTTGAATCGTGCATATGACCTTGTTAATTATAATATATTATGGAGAAAATTAATGACTCTAATGTCCCTGACAGTGCTCTGGGTTTGCTGAGGTACTGGTGAACCAAACGAATAAATTTGGGTAAACGAATAACGGCTATAAATAAGAATGTGCGGTACGTCAGGGAGGGCTGACTTCCACGGACCTTTTCAATTTTTATGTAAATGGCTTGATCGAGGAGCTAAGGAGTGCAAAAATTGGATGCTACATAATGGTGTAGCGTTTAACAACCTTAGCTACGTAGATGATATGGTGCTCCTTAGCCCAATGATTAACAGTCTCAGAAAGCTTATATCTATTCGCGAGAAAAAAATGGATTAAAATATAATTACTAAGACTGAAATGTTCTTATTTCGTGCTGGAAAGGGTCCGAGGAGGGTACCTGCCAATACGCATAAAGGGTGTGCAGGTTCGGACTGTAAACAAGTTCAGGTACTTGGGTCATATGTTGTCGTAGAACATGGTGGCGCGTCGCTTTGCTTTGTGTTCTGAGAATGTTAAGATTACTCTGTTTAAAGAATACCGTATTTGCATTTAGAGTATAATGATACTTTCTATTTTTTTAAACATCCACATTACTGCAGCGCTTCCGTAATGTTCGCGGAGACTGCTATCCCAGACTTTTACGCAGTATAACATCGTAGGACGACCAGTTTCTGGTAAACAGTACATAACTCAATAAATTGATTAATTCAGGTTGTTACGCTGGTCTCTCCTGACAATACATTTTATAAACATGGGATACATCGGACGCTATAGGTTATAAACGATTAATTTATATATGATATTTTAACTCAAAATAGAGTTTAATTTGTATGTGTATATAATACTTACATGAATCATTGTCCTGGACTAAAATGTACTACATATAAATGGGTTGATACCTTAATAAATAAACATTATTATTAGGTTCTTACATATTCAAATTTATAAATTAATTTAGCTGATACATTTAAGTTTTGAAAACAGTCATTCAATTGTTTTTTCCTCATTATTTTTTTCTATGGCGTCGCTTATTACCGCATAATAGAAAACAAGAAATATCGGTATAAGTATTTACGAGTACGAGTTCTATCGTGGCACCAGTGCTGCAGAAACAGCACGAAGGATTAATGATGTGTACGGCGCTGGTGTCGCAAAAGAAAGCTCGGTACGTTTTTGGTTTCAACGTTTTCGTTCTGGAAATTTCCACCTTCAAAACCAACCCCGTGGACGGCCGGAAACCAAAGTGGAAAATGAAGAATTAAAGGCTATTGTGGAAGCGGATCCATCACAAAGCACTTCAGAGATAGCTGTAGGCTTCGGGGTAAGTGATAAAACTGTATTAATCTACTTGAAGCAAATCGGGAAAGTAAAAAAACTTGAACGATGGGTACCTCATGAATTGAGTGAATCCAACTTGCAAACACGCGTCGACTGGTGTGTTACTTTGCTCAACCGACACAATAATGAAGGGATTTTAAATCGAATCATTACTTGTGATGAAAAGTGGATACTGTACGATAATCGGAAGCGCTCGTCGCAATGGCTGAACCCTGGAGACCCAGCCAAATCCTGCCCTAAACGAACATAAACTCAGAAAATGTTACTTGTGAGTGTTTGGTGCACTAACGCCGGTGTCATTCACTACAGCTTTCTAAAATCTGGCCAAACGATTACGCCAGATATCTATTGTTAGCAACTGCAAACCATGAAGGAAGAACTAGCTGCTAAACAACCGAGATTGGTCAATCGCTCTAGGCCACTGCTGCTTCACGATAACGCAAGACCACACACTGCACAACAAACAACCACTAAGTTAGATGAGTTACAATTGGAATATTTGCGACATCCACCGTACTCCCCAGACCTTGCTCCAGCAGATTACCATTTTTTCCAGAATTTCGACTACTTCTAACAAGGAAAAAAATTCAACTCCGATGCGGCAGGCCAAACCACCTTCAAAGAGTTTATTGATTCTCGCCCCCATGGTTTTTTTAGTAAAGGGATCAATGAAATACCTATGAGATGGCAAAAGTGCATAGATAACAACGGTGCATACTTCGATTAATTAAATATATTTTACAAAAAAAAAATTGACTTTATATTCCTCCCGTACAAAACGCCAATTTCATATGTAAGGTCCTAATATTATGTCGGGGTATAAATGTATTTTCTTATCTGGTTAGGCTGCATAAATATAAAAGAAAAAGATAAATATACATTAAATATAGTAAAATATATAAAAAAATACAAAATATAAATATAATAATATAATAAAATATATCATCATCATCATTACAGCCCTTCACAAGTCCACTGCTGAACATAGGCCTCCATTGACTTCCTGCATGTCTTACCAGGTCGTCACTCCATCTAGTGGGGGGGCGCCCTACAGTTCGCCTGCCGGTACGAGGCTGCCACTCGAGATCCTTTCTTCCCCATCGGTTGTCGGCTCTTTGACCTATATGGCCGGCCCATTGCCACTTCAGCATACTAATTCTTTGGGTTATGTCGGTTACTCTGGTTCTACTGTGGATATCTTCGTTTTTAAGTCTATCACGCAGAGAAACATCGAGCATAGCTCTCTCCATAGCTTGCTGAGCGACTTTGAGCTTCCTCATACGGCCAGCAGTGTAGGACCATGTCCCAGACCCATAGGTCATCACTGGCAACATGCACTGGTTGAAAAAATATATAATATAAGAAAAAATACAGACTTCAAAGTGAAGATTAAAAGTTTTTCGCATAAATGTCCTGAAGCTATTGATCTATTTTACAATAAGTTTTTAAATTTTACGTCACACTTACACTACATCTTCAGATTTAGTTATAATTTTTTTTCTAGTTTTAGTCAATATAAATTTAGAAATCTCTAGTGTATCTCCTCAACAGTAGACAGTCTTAATTTTTTATTATTTAAATAAGAGAATATTTTCTAATATTTGAGTAATATTTTAAAAAAAACGATGACAGAAGACCAAGATGTAGATTGACATAATTCTCAAAAATCATTGCAACTCGCCTACTGTCAATGGTGTTGAGTAGAGTGTTTACTACATTTGCAGTACCCAATATGCAGTTTTTTTCCTGTTCCAATGTATACATATTTCATATTTATTAACATAAAAAAGCCCAATTGTTAAAACGGTAACCAAAAAACATGACTGTGTAAAATAGTTTACTAAAAATATAAATATTTTATACCCTATGTCACTTCTACTAAGCTCAATATTAGGTTGGGGAAAAAGTTTCATTGTATTTTTATACAAATTCTAAACATTTTTTTCCAAGTTTAATTACATTTAATTTAAATATATATGTGCCATTTTGTTCCTTAACTTGTTGCCATCTTGTAGGTAGTGACATAATCCCGTTGCTTTAGAAATCTTGGGATTTTTGATTAAAAAAAATGCAACAAGTAGTTTGGACAGTCATCTCTTGATCTGACATGACCCAAAGAATTCTGTAGAGACCAACACAGATGAAAATCTGAAGGTGCAAGGTCAGTACTATATGGTGGATCCATTAACACTTCCCAACCAAGCTCTCTCAATTTTTGCTGAGTGGTCAAATTGTACGTGGTCTGGCATTATCATGATGAAAGACCACTTCTTTTCTGATGATCAATTACAGCCGTTTTTTTTTTCAATTTCTTGCTTGAGTCTCATTAGTTGTTGGCAGTAGAGATCCAAATCAATGATAGTAAAAGCTCATAATAAATGATGCCCTTTCAATTCCACCAATACACACAGCATCACCTTATTGCTTGTTAATCCGGAATTTGCTACAGTCACTGGAGGATGACTACCTTTTGACTATGATCTCTTTTGCACATTGTTATTGTAGGTGATCTACTTTTCATGACCAGTGATCAAATCTTTTCAAAAATGGTTCAGTTTCATTATGTTTCAATAGAGAATTGCAAATCAGTACACCATTCATTAGGTTTCATTCAGTGAGCTTGTGTGGTACCCAAATATCTAACTTTTATTATAGCCAGACTTTTTCAAATGGGTCAAAATTGGTTTGTGGTCAATCCTCAATTCCTCAGCTATTTCCTAACTACTAATATGCAGATCTTGCTCCACTCTTTCATAAATGACATCGACTTTATCCATATGATGGCGACCAGAGTGAGCTGCATCTTTGATATCAAAATTCCTGGACTTTTTTTTTTCACAGGTTGAGTTTTAATTTTCCCCATTTTGAAATAAAACCTCAAAATATATCGAATTTCTTCATTAGACTGACTCATTTTAGCAGACAGAAAAACAGTTGAAAAATGGCAGGAAAGTGGTTTTACTATTTCTTTTTCTTAATGTCCTATATGTATTGATATTAAATCCAGCCAGATACAAACAGTTCAACCAGAGATTTTTCTACAATTTTATACAAACAAAATACGAAGAAACCTTTTGCCCAACATATTATAATGACACCACTTATTTTGAAATCCATTGAGCTGTTCAGTTTACAAAGCGTGCCAAAGAACTAGACATACATACACTTGAAAAACATTGTCCTCTTTTTGGGTCAGTCAGGTAAAAACTAATAATGTATTAGATATTACATGTGAAATTAATGTAACATAATTGCTTATAACATTTTTAGATCTACATTAAAGTGTGTTTTAAATCTAAAAAAACATACATTTCACATAAGTATAAAATAATTTTAAAAATAAAATTTTGGAAACTACTTGTTTCCTCAATATAATATAAATTTTTGGAGTAGAAACAAGCAATATTTAAATCTGTCCCTAATAAAAGTGGGAACCTTCAAATCTATTTTATATTTTGGTAGTTGAACCAAAATGAGAGATGGTATATGCGTTATAGTTTTCAAATGTGTTTTGTTAAATAACACTGATTTAACTCAAGCAATAAATAAACAACGCCCAACAAAAAATATAAATGTACACTTGTACATGTTAGTTTTTCTATGTAAAGTTAACTTTAATCTGTATTATTAATTTCCCCATGTATGTAGTTTTATCTTACCTTGTTAACAACTGTTTTTCCAGCTGGAAGAAGACCAAAACAAAAGAGTTTATTCACTTCATCATGACGATAAAAATTAATACGTAAGTACCATTGGGGAGACTAAGGGATTTTATGACGCCAAATTGCTATAAAATAAATAAAACACAATTATCTATAATACTTTAAACGCAATACAGAAATAAAACTGTATTATGAATATAATATGACGATATAATACAATAAAAATTTAATTATTTTCCCGTTGAATATGACTTTCAAGCAATGACCATTGACCAGTCTTTTGACTTGTCTTATGTCATATTAAGTAAATAAGTGATAAGAGTTATTGTTTTTTTTTTTGTTACAATTAAGGTAGACTAAGATATTAGATAGTGCAGCCTATTATGATGTGTATTTATTTACTTCACAAATCACATTGCAGGTTTTGGGGAAGCTTATCCCAAATGACAGTTGAAGACTATAGTATTTAAAGCCACCCAAGCGGATAAAATAACTTGAGATCTTTATTAACATCATAGCACTTGTAACATCGGTTTCGCTAATCATTTACGTACACAGACATTTAATAATCAATATCGCAGCATTTTACGCATCAAAATCCACTTCAACTTCAAACCATTATTTAAACAATATTTATACTTAGTTCCTTAGTCGGGTCATAAGTTCTATCAAAATCTTATTATTTAAATTTTTTGAATACTGGCTAGGTAAACTTCACCGATTTCAAAAATATAATATTTGCGCTTGTCTAAAATAAGAAAGACATTAATTTTCAATCATTTTCAAATATGGAGTGGTCGAAGAAAGAAGATAGAGTAGCGGTTATCGCGATGCACCGCTGTTTTTACGCGCCAAAAGCGATTTTCAATATTCTATAAAAATTGAAAATAATCCTACGATTTGTTTAGCACACTATCAAAGGATTCACTGAAGATTCTAGCTTCGAAGATCGTAAGAGGACCGGCCGACCTCGTACAGTTAAGACACCCGCGATCATCAAAGCAGTGAAGGTGCGAATCCAACGAAATCCTGTTCGTAAACAAAAAATCTTAGCTCTTCAGATGGGACTAAGCAGAACCACGGTCAAAAGAGTGATCAATGAAGACCTAGGACTATTTTTGAACGAGAGTTTGAAAAAAATTAGGCTGGATTGATCGCGCGCTTTTTTACGACGGTACGCGGGAAAAAATGGCGTGAAATTTTGATTTCGGATGAAAAAATTTTAACATCGAAGAAAGTCATAATAAGCAAAATGATAAGGTGTATGCCCACAGCAGTGAAGAAGCCAGCACGCGTATTCTGAGGGTTCAATGAGGACATTATCCTTCGTCACTCATAGTTTGGCTTGGAGTCTCATATTCAGGCTTAACTGAGATGTTTTTCTGTGCAAACAGGTGTAAAAAACAGGGCCGAGATGTACCAAAATGCCATTCTAACAAAAATAGTGGAACCACTTTCTCAAACTATGTCCAAAAATAGACATTGGCTATTCTAACAGGACTCTGCACCAGCTCATAAGGAACAAAGCACGCAAAACTGGTTGAGCGCCCGTGGAATTGACTTTATCGGACATGAAGACATGCCCTCTTCTAGTCCAGATTTAAACCCACTGGATTACAAGATATAGCACAATTTGGAGGAGAAAGTCTGCGCTAAACCTCATCAGAATTTGGAATCTCTCTGAGCGTCTTTGGCTAAAGCAGCGGCAGAAATAGATATGAATGTGGTGCGTGCTGCGATTTATACTTGGCCGCGTCTATTAAGGGCATGTATTCGAAATAGGGCTAGAGAAACGTTCCTAAATCAGTGACCTTGAAATGAATGAAAGGCACCGAGTTAAGCGTTGCATTTCTTTCTAATAGTGTCCATGATACAATATTTTGAGGATATTATTAGTGTATACAGTATCAGAAAACGAAATGCCTATTTTGTTTCAATATGGAAAATGCTGAATTGTGTAATAATTAAACTCCGTTTAATATGTTGATTACGTTATTGCTTCGCTACAGTAACGGTAACTAGTGGCAGCGTAGCGTGGGTTGATACCCAGGGTGGTTTTCTATCAAGCACCCCCCAAAATAAAACAAAAAATGCTATACATGCTAACGTAAGGCTGAACAACACTAAATGTTACGTGAATATCATCCATTGCTCTGTAGCGATGGTCTAGTTTCTCGTAAAATATGTTAAGACATTCTAACATAGCTCTCTGCAGCTCCTCTGGCAATGTTAGTCCAGCATATCGGGTCATTTCTCCTGGTAAACGTTTTCGATATATACTCATTCCTCTTCTTCCTTCAATCGAAATGTCTACATTCTCACATTTTTCTGTTACGTAGGAAATAGCTTTTTCCACTAGTTGAATACGTTGGCTTTGAAGAAAAATTTTTGGGCTTTGATTTTTATCTCATACTTTTCCAGTGATGATCTTGATTATTATTTTATTATTTAGTATTTGCTTTTATGTGTACATAACTTCTTTTAGGATTTTACACCAAAAGGAAAGATAGCATAAAAAACTGAAGTCACACAAAGCCGGTAAGAGTGTAGATACTGCTTCTTTTGCATCGACGTTTTCTCTGTTGGTGCTGTGATCATATATATCTTTGAGTGTTTATACTAGTTTTTTTTTAAATTATTCTGCAGTAGTTTAAATGCGTCATGATGAGCAATTCACCTTATCTCTGAGAGTCTTTTGACGGATACGCCTACACTTTTTATTAAAGTTTCCCATTGACGTGTGAATGATGAAAGGAACCTGTAAACTCTTTCTACTGTTCCGAAAAAAAGTTAAACTTGAATTAACGCTCCCTAAGTGAGTGCACTCCACAAGGATTTAGCGAATGATTAGCACAAGGCGTTTTCTACGTGGTAGAGCCATGCTGCAGCTATATAAATAGTATAGTTGTAGCACAAATGAGTCGGCTCGACCGGGGAAGGATCACGTACTCACAGAATACCGGCGTAAAATAGCAGCTCAACACTGATGTATTTCATATGGTGAGTGGAGAGAACCGGAGACCCTTTTTACTGGAAAAGAGGCATCACATCTTAGTTCTCACGGATGACAACGCATCTGCATTTTGATTCGCAAACGAGGATAGATGTAGATGTCTATGGGCCACAGCAACCACTTACCATCCGGTGAACTGTGTGCTCGTTTGTCACCCTATTCTATAAAACAAAAACAATATATTCATTTCACAACGTAAAATTTTAAAATAGTGTAGTCATCTATAGCCTAAAATGCACCTCCTAGTTTTTAGGGAAAGAACATTCGTGTCACAGAAACAGAAACTTTTTTAAAGTTGTCAAAAAATTACTTTGCGTACATCCGCACGATAAAATAAAATGATGTGTCTTACTTAGTTTGAAGAACTATTTATACAGACCACTGACGCAAACGCAGTTGTTTTGGCTCGCCGCTCACTTAGCGGTTAGCCGCCGTAGAGTCTATATCACCTGAGGATGCATCGTGTAGAGGCGAAACACGTGTCGTATTGTCATGAGTGGTGTGTCTTTTCTAGTGTAGTGGTGTTGGGAGTAGTGGTGCTGAGATAAGTGGTGACGGGGATAGTGCACGCAATTGAGGGAGGGCGGGAGGTGCTCTTCATACTAGGTAACACATCATTTTATTTTATCGTGCGGATGTACGCAAAGTAATTTTTTGACAACTTTAATATAATGGACTTCCGTAAAGTAATTCTACTAATTAAAAGTAATTCTACTGATTCTATTAATTATCTTAAAAAAGAAACTTTTTTATTCAATACTAGCTGACCCGGCGAACTTCGTACCGCCTAACAGTCGATTCTTTAATTTTTTTTTAATAATTTTTCTGCTATTATGATAAAAGAAAGTTGATAAGTCAACAATTACATTATGTCAAAAAATAAAAATTATAAAACACTATTGACAAATATTGACATTAATATGTATACGATACTAACGTCTCTCAATCGTTTTGCCTTCCCGGAACCCCTCCACTAACACTTAAACTTCATGGCATGGTATTAAAGTTCAAAATGACTTTTAAGTATTATTACGAATCTTTTGTATGGGAATATAGAAAAGTGTTGTTTTTAGACTTTTTCAGACAATTTTTTAAATTTTTCTCTCTGTAAGAACCATCTTCGTACTTCAAGGTATATTATAAAAAAAGAATTAGCGAAATCGGTTAAGCTGCTCCCGAGACTTGCGCTTAGCAACACATTCAGCGATTCATTTTTATATTATAGATAGATTAAAAACAATACTTATTGAAAGTTACTCTTTTGTTTAATTACCACTAGTTCGAAAAAAAACCTCTGTCCACAGAAGAACCAGCAAGAAACCCAGCGGAGCTTAGAACAATAGATAAGAGTGTTCAGAATTTAGAGTACGATTAGAGCGCGCGTATCGCTTAATGCCAAGGGCAATCAGATGTTCTATAAATTTTGATACATAACTATGCAGAGTGGTTGAATAGTGATGCGCCAAGATTGACGCATATACGTTATTGTACTTAAGTTATTAATTTGATTATGTAAGTATTTGTAAATATTAGGTAAGCGATAATTATAAGCTATATTATAGCTCAATAAAACACAGGTACGAATTTATGAAACGGTGTTTATTAATCAAACACAAAAATGTAATTAATTTACTCCCTTTTAAAAACCATATTATATACAACACATAACATAATTAACGCACATCCTGAAAGTAGTTTGTTCAGAATCGTTTACTGAATCGATTTCTATCATTTTTATTATAGGTAATTTTTTATCCCAAAAATAATCTATACTACGTAATTAACAGTCACACTAAACCTGTACAGTCAAAACAAACTGAAATGGACCGTAACTGAAGGCAATAAAACTTTTAAAAGTACAGTTTTATTTGTATTAATACAAATTCCGTCATTCAATACAAAATAAAGAAAATTGAACCTTATTCAAGTATTTGTAAAGTCTTTACAAATACAGAGTTTGGAGTGCCTTATAAAGGTCGCGGCGGTCTTGTCCATTGACCTCCTAGATCAGCTGATTTGACGCCTCTTAACTTTTTAGGGTTCTGTAGCCAAATGGCAAAAAACGAAACCCTTATGAATTCGTCATGTCTGTCTGTCTGTCCGTCCGCATTTCACAGCCACTTTTTTCCGAAACTATAAGAACTATGTTGTTGAAACTTGGTAAGAAGATGTATTCTGTGAACCACATTAAGATTTTCACACAAAAATAGAAAAAAAAAACAATAATTTAATTTTGGGGATCCCCATACTTAAAAATGAAACGCAAAATTTTTTTTT